AGTGTTTCGTGTGAATAGGTACAATGCCTGGGTGTTTGTTACTGATTATACTCGGGTGTTAGGAATCAATCTATACATGTTTACTGATAACAAGTTACCTGTACAGGAAGCATTAACCAGGTATACCACCAGGACAGTTATTGTTGTAATGATCGACATGGACAAATATGAGACAGACATGGGCTAGATTCTGTTTAGATTGTTCACACAGGAAGTTCATTGTGTTCTTTAAAAAAAAAGGAACAGACAGATTGCAATTAGGACATACAGCCACAAGTGCATGTCTGACTAGGCTACATGACACTAATTATGTTTTGATTGATATGGTATAAAAAATAGCCCTTGGTCACATATCTCTATAATTATAAAGTGTTGAAATGTGAGGGAAATTAGCTATGGCAGAATAGGAGGAAGGATTTTATGGCAGTATACTTTGATTTTTAGTTCTTTAACCAGGAATTACATTCCTGGAGTTCATACAGTGCTCTACTGAGAACAATATGAAAGTGGCTGTCTGAAATTCCTTCCTGAAATTAGTGTTATAGCTAGCTCACTAATGGATTATGTGGTTTGTGTAAGTTCAGTAAGTTTTCTCTTCTTGTTGTATATTCATTTAAAATGTAATATTTGCTGAAATGTTTTCAGCTTTAGTACCTTTCCTGGTGTATACAGTTGTCTCTGTCAGTTTCAGTACCTTTCCTGGTGTATACAGCTGTACAGTTGTCTCTGTCAGCTTCACTACGTTTCCTGGTGTATACAGCTGTACAGTTGTCTCTGTCAGCTTCAGTACCTTTCCTGGTGTATACAGCTGTCTCTGTCAGCTTCACTACCTTTCCTGGTGTATACAGCTGTACAGTGGTCTCTGTCAGCTTCACTACCTTTCCTGGTGTATACAGCTGTACAGTGGTCTCTGTCAGCTTCAGTACCTTTCCTGGTGTATACAGCTGTACAGTTGTCTCTGTCATCTTCAGTACCTTTCCTGGTGTATACAGCTGTACAGTTGTCTCTGTCAGCTTCACTACCTTTCCTGGTGTATACAGCTGTACAGTGGTCTCTGTCAGCTTCAGTACCTTTCCTGGTGTATACAGCTGTACAGTTGTCTCTGTCATCTTCAGTACCTTTCCTGGTGTATACAGCTGTACAGTGGTCTCTGTCAGCTTCAGTATCTTTCCTGGTGTATACAGTTGTCTCTGTTAGCTTCAGTACCTTTCCTGGTGTATACAGCTGTCTCTGTCAGCTTCAGTACCTTTCCTGGTGTATACAGCTGTACAGTTGTCTCTGTCAGCTTCACTACGTTTCCTGGTGTATACAGCTGTACAGTTGTCTCTGTCAGCTTCAGTACCTTTCCTGGTGTATACAGCTGTCTCTGTCAGCTTCAGTACCTTTCCTGGTGTATACAGCTGTACAGTTGTCTCTGTCAGCTTCACTACGTTTCCTGGTGTATACAGCTGTACAGTTGTCTCTGTCAGCTTCAGTACCTTTCCTGGTGTATACAGCTGTCTCTGTCAGCTTCAGTACCTTTCCTGGTGTATACAGCTGTCTATGTCAGCTTCAGTACCTTTCCTGGTGTATACAGTTGTCTCTGTCAGCTTCAGTACCTTTCCTGGTGTATACAGTTGTCTCTGTCAGCTTCAGTACCTTTCCTGTTGTATACAGCTGTACAGTTGTCTCTGTCAGCTTCAGTACCTTTCCTGGTGTATACAGCTGGACAGTGGTCTCTGTCAGCTTCAGTACCTTTTCTGGTGTATACAGCTGTCTCTGTCAGCTTCAGTACCTTTCCTGGTGTATACAGCTGTCTCTGTCAGCTTCAGTACCTTTCCCGGTGTATACAGTTGTCTCTGTCAGCTTCAGTACCTTTCCTGGTGTATACAGCTGTACAGTTGTCTCTGTCAGCTTCAGTACCTTTCCCGGTATATACAGCTGTACAGTGGTCTCTGTCAGCTTCAGTACATTGTCAGCGTAATGAAATTTTTTTGTTTCAGTGTTAAATTTGAGATATTTGTGTCATTGGAATGTTTGATATTTTGTGTCTGTGTAATGTTTGATATTTTGTGTCAGTGTAATGTCTGATTTTTGTGTCGGTGTAATATTTGCAGATCTAATTATTATGAAGGCAGTTATAGGACACCACTTTGTATTACTTTTTCTATATGGAGATTTATCCAAAATTTCCATTTATTGAAAATATGTTGAAATCAAATTCTGTTCATAATATATAAAGGATAGAGCCAACGCTGCGGTTGCTATCAATGGAGGACTGCAGGATTCATCCCTATTTAAATTCTGTTCATGTTATACTGATCAGCTAAAATCCAAGACCTGCCTCATACAACTGTACAGCCCTGATTTAGGTGTGTACTCTGGTAATTGTTTGTGTTGTCATGACAGTAAATGGGATGGAAACGAGTGGTTATAACATGGCTGTTACTGCAAATATTTTCAAAATTGGTCTATTTTACACATAGGATACATCATACAAATAGTGAGGGAAAGTATCAACAAACATTGGTATCAATGATATTGGATATAAGGTGATTATACTGGTGTGGATGAAAGCTTAGCAGGATGTACCCTGCTTTGTACTAAATAGATTATATATACCCTCATTATCTTTATTGAGTAAACAACAACAGACTAAGGGCAGATAACTATTTATCAAAGACATTATTAAACAGAAAAGTCAATGTTTGATAGGTAAACAAATTGCCTTTATTTTCTGCCGAGACTGATAACACATGTAACAGTGTGTTTCTTTGAAGTAGACAATCTCCATTTTGTCAATGTCTGAACTGTATAGAAAGTGTGACAATAATTAGTAGACAAGTTATTGTTCATTTTGGAGGTGCTGGAAATGGGTTATCTTAAAGAGAATTCGAAAGACAAGAGAACTAGGTAGACCATGGATTCTTAATGTTGTTTTTACAGAGCAACCGGTGTCATATCATATTTGTATCCCCCATCAGGAAAGGAGAAGTAACATTAGTGGTATACTGTTCCACCATCAGAAGTAACATTAGTGGTACACTGTTCCACCATCAGAAGTAACATTAGTGGTACACTGTTCCACCATCAGAAGTAACATTAGTGGTATACTGTTCCACCATCAGAAGTAACATTAGTGGTATACTGTTCCACCATCAGAAGTAACATTAGTGGTACACTGTTCCACCATCATAAGTAACATTAGTGGTACACTGTTCCACCATCAGAAGCCACATTAGTGGTACTCTGTTCCACCATCAGAAGCCACATTAGTGGTACTCTGTTCCACCATCAGAAGTAACATTAGTGGTACTCTGTTCCACCATCAGAAGTAACATTAGTGGTATACTGTTCCACCATCAGAAGCCACATTAGTGGTATGCTGTTACAGCGACTGATATTTAACCTACTCTGAAGGCTTTGAAGGTTGGTATTTCCTCCTGGCTGATAGTAAACATCTTTTTGCTTTTCCAATTTGTCACCAGTGCAAAAAGATACTAAGAGACTCTTATTTATTCTTGATTGTGCATACCTGTGGCACACATATCTAGGTGAAAATCTTATGTAGCAAGTACGGTAGATATTACCAAGGTATAACATGTGTCAAATGTTTCATGTTTTAAACCAATCTTATTTTCCTTCCCCAAAGCTTATAATGTTAAGTAAATGTAGTGACCCTGCAGGTATTTTCTCAGATTTGAGATTGAGGAAAAATTTTTAAATTCTAGCCGTTGTTTATCTGTTATTCAGAATCAAGCACACAAAGCATATGTAGCTGATGTTTAGGGGTATTCCTTACTGTGTAACATCAGTCTGACCTAGATATGCTGGCATGGAGTCTGTGACTGTCAAACAATTCTTAATTTCGTTGACCAGGGTCAGGATATAACAAATTTGTCATTCTAGCTTATACTATCAGGGTAAAGTGAAACTCTGTGTTGCAGAGAAATAGAAGTTTTCTTTAAAACTTTAATGTGGTTATTTTTGTTCTGGAAAATATTGAGGGTTTTATATTTATCACTGTGACAGTGGTGTTGGGCTGTACAACAACTGACAACTATCAGCATTCCTCACAGGACGATATTGTGTATGTGAAAAACCATCAACCAGATCAATACATTCTCAGAATGTATCTGAACAGTGTCCTTCACTCGACCTCAAAACAGCACTTTTTGCCATCACGTGACACTAAAACGTGAAATTTTGCCAAATATTTTTCTAACTCATTCTGCTGAAAGCTACAAGTCAATACAATGCACATATAATGATATTGGTGATTGCTTGGCATTTCATGTCCGTATTAGTTGCAGCTGAATTGCCTTAGGGACAGAATCACAAAGGTTATCAATTAATAGTTTGATTAATTAATGAAATAAATGACAGATAGAGGAGGATTATGTGATGAGGAAGGGTATTGAATGGCGAGAATTATTGATTTCTAATGACAGTGCAGTTCTATGTATGAAAAGTTCAGTTCCTAAATAACATGATCGTCCCAAACAAAGCTTTATATAAAAGTTTGGATCAGTACATTTTGAAATTCAGAATAAGATTTATAATTGTATGTTGATTATAAAAAATAATTAAAAAAACTTAACTATATCCAATGTTTCTGTCTGAATTTTAAGTTTCTGCTTTATTTTGCTAAGCTTACATGGCTTTGAGCTACAGTAAATGTAATTACTTCTCAACATCATCATAACATTGAACTTTCCCCCAAGGAATAACAAAGCTATGTCAGCATATATAGACTGGTATTGGAACATCTCTGTGCTCATATGTAACAGCAGTGTGGTGTCGTGGTGTTTGTGTATTGTTATTCCTGTCATACACGCCTACACAAGGTATAAAAGTACCCATATCATGGATCTATTTCTGCAAACTGTGTTTGAATAAGAGTTGATGCAGATAAAAATGAGAAAAACAGAAAAATTGTAACATAGATGGATGGTCATACAGTCAATAACTCACTGCTTGGCTGCCACATCGTGTTATTCTTTGGTGTCTTACTTTTCTAGTTGCCGGGTGGTGTTGATCTGACGTTGAGTGAGCTGCAGGATATGGCGTCACGTCAACAACAGCAGATTGAGCATCAACAACAGGTCCTGGTTGCCAAGGAACAACGCCTTAAGTACCTCAAACAACAGGAGGCTCGTCACCAACATATTGCTGCTGAAAACGACAGACTCAAGAAACTGCGGGAAAAAGTGGAAAATCAGGAAATGAAGTTAAAAAAGTTACGAGCACTTCGAGGAGAGGCTGAAAAATGTAAAAATAATAACGGATCTATAAGTAAGTATTTCTATATATGTAGGTGCAAATCTATTTATAGTTGGTAGGCAGGGATTTTTCAGGTACATGCATGCCCCTGTGTTTTAGTATTATAATGAGGAACACAGAGAGAGACATGGAAGGAAATCTATGGAGTCCTAACATTTTGTGATATATACATACCCATGTCTTTGATAATTATAGGGTTACATACCCTTACTAATAGGAAATGTTATACTATTTTTCTACAAAGGCTGAAGCTTTTAAAATCAAAATCTCTATTCTGGTGCAATAGGTGCAGGAATGATATACGAAAAATATGTGTAACCCTTACCTTATCATATCTCTGGTGGAAAGAAAATCATATCATGTCACTTTCATGTTTCAGATTCAGAGTTGGAGAGTGTAAAGTCCCTGTTCAGTGAGAAGGAGAAAGAGCTAGTTATGGCCGTCGCTAAAGTAGAGGAGTTGACACGTCAATTAGAAGAAATCAGACACGACAAGGAGTCAGTTATCAAGACAAGTGGTCAAAATACAGCCAAACTAGAACTGGACAAACTGAAAAAGGAACTAATGGTCAGTTTTTAAAATTTTCAAAGACCAAAATCAGGTGATTTTATAACAGTATGAGTTAGATCTGGTTTGCTGGAAGAGATGCAGATTCTGAATTTTTATTTTCAATGTGTCTATTTTTAACCCACCATTATCAGATGTTCAGAGCATCTGCACTAATTGATTTGCCGTCTTGAATGTTTTTATGTCAAACAGCGTGGTTAGCATTCTGCAAACAGTTATAATTTTTCTAGCAATTAGAATTGTAATCATGAGGATAATCAATAAGTAGAAAATGAGAAAAAAAAGATCCTCAGCACGAAAAAAACAACAAACAAAAATCTCAGCAGTCTTTTATGTATTTCAGATGAGGAATAAATTAAACGAAGAGCAAAATAGCAAACTGAAAAATCACAGGGACATGTTGAAACAACGAAAAGAGGAAATATCTAAAATGGACAACAGAATAATGGAGTTACAACAGAGACTTAAAAGGAAACGTGCTCAGCAGGCTGATCAGTCAAAAAAACAGAATAATCAGCCATCAGACAACAACTCTGCAAACAAACAGACACGAAACAACGTGGCAGCAGTAGAACCCTATGTACAAATTGTGCCAAAAGACAAATTAAATGGAAATGTGGATTCTTCTTTTCATAAAATGGATCCTAAATATCAGTCATTACCTGTGAGTTCAAAGTTTGTGATGAATTCTTCTGAGGATCTGTCCAAAAAGCCACATAAAGTTGCTGATAATGTACATGAACCTAACAATAATACAGTGATTAAGGCACCAGACCAACTTAAAACACCAAAAATGGATTCGACAAAATCTGTGCCGAAAGAAAATGGGCATACCCCGATTGAAAATGTTCATAAGGATACAAGCAAAAAGCAGACACCTCCTGCATCACAAAGCCAGCATTCAACCTCAGGACAGACTAAACATCCTCCATCATCACTACCACAGTATTCAAACTCAGGACAGACTAAACAGCCACCACCCATTCCTGCCCGTGCAGGAACAACAAACCTAACATATTTCACAGCTAGGCCGTTCGGGTCAACATACAGCACATCAGTACTGAACAGGGGTCCAGGCGACCAACAGGGGGGCCCTACAATTACAATAGCAGAGGATGTTCGCACTGGGGGCAGTGGTCAGAGTTCACCAGCCTCAAGTGATAGTTCTCTGAAAGAAAACAGTGCTTATGTGTCTGACCATCCTTCTACAAATCATTCAGAGAAACGGACTTCAGTGCTAAATGGTACAAACACTTATAATACAACTGTTAACAATGGTGCTTCTTCACATCAAGGTGGGCCAAACAAACACCCACCCCCCTACCCAGGGGGTTCTTTGCCCCCTAATAAACCACAAGGTGCTCCCCCTCCCTATCCCCATGTGCAGCAGAATGTGCGTTCCTACGATCAAACTGATTCCATGAAGGACACAAATAGCAATAATGGATCTGATTCTTCTCTCAATAGTGATCCAGGAAACAGTTCTAAACAACAACCCAAATACAAATATGCCTCCAAAAATGTGATAGCAAATACGTACATGGGCAAACTAGGACCGGAGGCATTGAAAAAGTACCAACAAAATATACAAATGATGTACACAAATATATCAAAGAAAGATGGTGTGAAAGTGAACAAATCCAACGGGGACAACAAATCACATGAGGACTCAAATCAGCAATCTTCTTTACCAAACAGTGCTCACTCTTTATCACCACCGTCTAGTTCATCCTCCGAATCACCACCAGTCAGCTCACCGAAGGGAAGCAAACCTGGTTCACCTCCAACTTCTCCACAATATCCCGACATTGCTTCTGATAAAGTAAGTCATAACCGACACACACATAAACATGTAAACCTTCGCCGACGACACTCCGACAGTGATAATGAAGATATCACAAAATTGCTTCACAAGTATGTGGACCGTTACAAAAACCAATCGGGCCATACTCCTCAGGAGGCAGGGGAGGGGCGTCACATTGGGGGATACGACACTCAAGCCACATCCTTTCAGGACCAAGTCCCTGAAGATGTCCCTGTAGATGGAATGGGTAATCTCATTGATATTTCAGACAAGGGCAAACTGGTAGATGGCTCAGATGAGAGTAAATCTCCAGTCAGTGTACAGGTTGTCACCTCTGATGAACCTGTGCTTAGGAAAAAGACAAACCTGAAAAGCCGTAATGCAAAAAAATCTGGGAATCGTGTGAGCTTTGATCCTCTGGCTTTACTGCTGGACTCGTCACTAGAGGGAGAACTGGAGCTTGTCAAACGCTGTGCCAGTCAGGTCAGTAAAAAGATACAACCTCATTTTCTTCTGATTTCATTGTAATTTTTTATGTCTCGTTTGCCAACGTACCAGTTTATTGACCGTTTCTGGTCTCTTTGTTGTAATGTTTTACCTGTAAAGAAAGCAGTAGTTTCCTTGTTTCCATGAAATATGTGACATCTTTCCTACACGGACAAATTGATAGAACTACTGCATACAAGTGTCAATGGGTATCTTAACATTATCCTTGTTTCTTCAACTGTGTACATATGTTCAAAACATTGTTGATGAGAGCACTTCTTAGGAACATTGCGTACCTAAGATTTCTAAAATCACATATACATATGAGTAAATTATGAAAAACAACATTTTACAAGCCATTTGACTTATTTATATATATTGCCTCCACCAGGTGCGTGACGTGAGTGAGCCCAATGACGAAGGAATCACAGCTCTACACAATGCTATCTGTGCAGGTCACTATGAGATTGTTAAATTCCTGGTGGAGTTTGGCTGTGATGTCAACTCACCTGACAGTGATGGCTGGTAAGTTATGAGTGCTGTCAAATATTCAGTAAAAACACTACTTTAGATATAGCAGAGAGATATTGGACACTATTGAAGGAAGTTTTACCACTGTATATTGTACACTACAAAGTTTGGCAGAAATATTGCTGTCTGTAGATATTGACTACCGGTATATAGTAGTAGAGATGGATGGCAGTACAAACAGATACATTTAAACATTTCTTTACTGATGCCTGTTGTTTTTATCTCTACCAGGACACCTCTCCATTGTGCAGCCTCCTGTAACAACCTACCGATGGTAAAATTCCTTGTGGAGCACGGGGCTTGCATCTTCGCTACCACCATCAGTGACCAGGAGACTGCAGCAGAGAAGTGCGAGGAGGAAGAAGACGGCTTTGATGGCTGCTCCGAGTACCTTTACAGTAAGTTGGTCACACCTACTGTCCTGAGAGTATACATATCGTCTATGATATATATACTTGTAGTATGAGCCTGGTCTGTTCATCTGTCCATTCCTCTGACATTAACCTCTACATAAAATGTAGAGTAGTTTGTTACATAATTAAATGGGTCACTGTGACCTCGATTTTACATTCAACTTTGGTCTAAGTACTGATATTAATGGTCTGAAGTACTGATATTAATGGTCTGAAGTACTGATGGTCTAATGAAATGATATTAACAGTATGAGTTACTGCCTTTGCTGGAACATGATAAGGGATGTAAAGCTTTCTATCATTGACTATTCCCATAGCTGAACTGTTTACTTCATTTACATAGTGTACATGACTTGGTATAATTAGCTATACATACCTACCAGGTATGGGGCATTTTATGAATAATTTGAAAGGTGGTCTTCAATTTGGGAAGATAACACACTGTTAAAATATTGATGTAATGCTTAAATGTTTCCTGTTATAACTTGACATCATTGTGCACAGGTATTCAGGAGAAACTGGGAATCCTGAATAATGGAGCCACATGGGCAGTGTTTGATTATGAGGCTGTGAACAGTGATGAACTGAGCTTCATCATTGGGGACAAAATCCTGATCATACGAAAGGGTGATGAGAAAGAGAAGGAATGGTGGTGGTCCAAGCTAGACAAGAAGGAAGGCTACATACCAAGGAACTTACTAGGGGTGAGTAGACACAGAGGTCTGTACTGGTACACGTACCAGACTTACTGAGGGATTTAGGTACCAGTAGACACAGGGGTCTGTACTGGTACACGAACCAGACTTACTGAGGGATTTAGGTACCAGTAGACACAGGGGTCTGTACTGGTACACGTACCAGACTTACTGAGGGATTTAGGTACCAGTAGACACAGGGGTCTGTACTGGTATACTAACCAGACTTACTGAGGGATTTAGGTACCAGCAGACACAGGGGTCTGTACTGGTATACTAACCAGACTTACTGAGGGATTCAGGTACCAGTAGACACAGGGGTCTGTACTGGTACACGTACCAGACTTACTGAGGGATTCAGGTACCAGTAGACACAGGGGTCTGTACTGGTACACGTACCAGACTTACTGAGGGATTTAGGTACCAGTAGACACAGAGGTATGTACTGGTACACGTACCAGACTTACTGAGGGATTTAGGTACCAGTAGACACAGGGGTCTGTACTGGTACACTAACCAGACTTACTGAGGGATTTAGGTACCAGGCTACATACCAAGGAACTTACTAGGGGTGAGTAGGCTTAGTGGTTTGGGTTTTTTTTTATCCCCAAGGTCAGGAATCAAAATCCTGATCAGGTCTAGGAATATACCAGATAATCATTTTCAGCTGATTTTGTATATTTCAGATATGATATGTTCTCCCAATATTTATAGTTTGATTCTTATTTTGCAGTTATATCCTCGGGTGATACCACAGGCAGGAGAATCTGACAGCTGAGACCAAGAAACTCCAACAAATGCAACGTGTTCACTAAGTGCTATATACAGATAATAGGGCCAACTGAAAGCAGATTTTGACTGGGTGCAGTTCTCCAGAAATTATCTTCAAAATGATCCTCCTAATGTTTTACTTCTGAAGAGATCCCTATCAATCAAGCAAAGAAAATTTCACACAACTTTTGTATTACTAGTTCTCATCGCGTGGCATGGTTTCTTATACAAATTGTATACAATTATCTTAGAAACTCTTGGCATTTTACGCGATAATTTGACCTAACTGAACAAATCTTCCAGAAAATACATAACAACAATAGCGATTTTTCCCTTTAAAACAAGTTGGTAGTTCACCGACATGGTATTGGAGGGACGCCATTTCTGGACTGGAGACTGCATCAAAAATCTGGTTTCAATTTTCTTTTCGAAAAACTTTCGACAGGTTTCAGTAGATAGTCATGTCTTGAAGGGTATTTATTCATTTCCATTAAGTTATTGGAGTAAAAACAGTTATGATCGTGTGTGCATCTGTGAGAATGCATATGTGAAATAGTGCAATATTTTCTAGATGTTGTAAATATTGTATATAAAAGCAGTAGATGAGTCATATTCAATTTCATTCCACTTCTATAACTTGGTATTTTTCTACTTTCAGTTTGATCTATAATATGTATTTTGTTTATCAATTGATTTATGAAGACCCTCAATAGTGTTGTGCTGAAGTTATATATTTCATTATAGTACTTATTCTGAATCTCTGTTAACCAAATACATATCCAGAAAAATTGATATATTTAACTATACAAGAACATTAATTAAAGCAGCATTACCTGATTACATATTTACTAGAACCATTGGCTGCATGTTGCTAATTAAGTATTGCAGGAAACTCACATTTACTTGTAATAATAGATACAAGAATGTTCTACTTACGACCAATGGTTAACGATATCTAAACGAGTACGAACATTTTAATTCAAATGATTTAAAAGTTCAACAGAAAAGATCATTTTTGTAAGATTTAAAAGTTCAACAGAAAAGATCATTTTTGTAAGATTTAAAAGTTCAACAGAAAAGATCATTTTTGTAAGATTTAAAAGTTCAACAGAAAAGATCATTTTTGTAAGATTTAAAAGTTCAACAGAAAAGATCGTTTTTGTAAGATTTAAAAGTTCAACAGATAATTTGCACCTTACTTATTTGTCAAACACCTTGTATTTTACATCGACATTTTGATATGCTGAAGGTGCTAATTCACTAAAGTATGTATACCATTACCTGTGCCATTGTGTATATATCAATATGGTGAGATACTCTGACCACAATTACATTTAATTATTTATCTTTATTTCCATTGGAAAAAAAACCAATGAAACGGAAGATTTTGATATTTTAAATACAATAAGGTTGGAATAAGAAAAGAGATACCAAAAAATGAAGATTTTTCAGACAAAAATAATGAGAATGGATATGATGGTGCTTTGTTGTAGATATTCAGTGTAGACAAGATTTGTTCAAGTCATCAGCAGTTATATGCTACCTTAATCATGTAGATTCTTGACAACGATTCTTTAATGTTATTCATGTACATCATCAGAATTGTTGATGCCAGTATGATATTTGTAAACCAAGAAAATAGATCAATTTTCTCAAAACATTTCTGGATTTTGTTTTGTTTGACTTTCAACCAGAGACAGACTTTGGATTCAAGAAAAGAGGCAGCACTTGGCATCTCTCACTATCTGCAAGTTGGTAGAAGAGAAATTAATCAGACTTCATCTTGTATTTCCATCTATACAATGTCTTTGAAATATAATTACTCAATATTGACACCTTATTATAGTTTAACTTCAAAAGGCATATTACCTCCCTTCCATACCGTTTAGTCAATGTGCAAATGAGTCTGTACCGTAACAAGAGGCAAAAGGGCCTTAATGGTCACCCGAGTCCCAATGCATCTTGCAACATGCCATAGAAATGATTTTGTTAAAAAAGGAAATAAAACTTTTAACTATATTGTACACATAATACAAATGTAAATTGTGTTTGCATTAACTGCTGTCCTTTGCTAAGGCTTCTTTTCAAGTTTGAAGTAAAAGAAATTACACTTAAAGTTTGAATTTTCCTAAATAAAATCTTCCATCCTGGAACAATAAAACATCTTCGAAATTTCAGTCAATTTGACCCACTTTTGGCCACACCCATCAGCTCCTAGAGGTCAGTTAAGGTCAATATGTGCATTTCATCAAACAGTCAGCTTATACTATTAAAAAATAAATTCTAACCAAGTTTGAACTTTTTCTGAAAGAAAATAAGCAAATCATGTTCAAAAATGGGATTTTCCTCAAGAAACTAAAGTAAACTTTATCCCCTCCCTGGGGGAAATGCGAGACCATGGGGTCGAGAAATCTACAATTTTGGTAAAGCATCTAAGACCTTTCTATCCATGAAGAGCACTGGATTTTAACATACCTTGGATTTGGTCTCAGGTGACCTAAAAACTACTTTCTTTTTATCCTTCTGAGTTATCTCCTATCCTCCAGATTTGTCCAATATGTAAATGACTTGTCACCACAATAACGATACTTCATCAAAAGTATAGATCAAACATCTGAGTAAGGCTTCCTGGAGTTTCCCTTAATTACATTTATATGTATATCTTGGGTAACTTTTAAAGAAACCCATATTTAACTTTACAACTACTGCTAACAGATATATCCCCATTTTCTACACAATTTGTCTAAATTTAACAAAAGTTATCAGCTTATCAGAATAGGGTGATGTTTCAAACTTGAAATATATCAAAAGTTATTTCCCTCTTTTAGCAATTGCAATATCCCAAATATTCTCAGCACAATGGCACTTGTTGAACTGGAAAAGAAGGTTCAAATATGTTTTTACAGATTGTTGCCATGGCATCCATCTTGGATATCAGACATGTACACTATTGGCATTTAAAGTGAGAACATCCAATAAATTATAACCAATTTCCACTACAAACAGATTCTTATACACAACTCTAAACAGTGGCAGTTATGAACTGCATTTAAGGTAATTTCTTTTTTTCTTGAAATATATCAGACATTGCCATAGAAACACCTTTCCACCAAATATACAAGTCATAAAGAGCTTTTGACAATTTGATCTCTGTGATCTTGAATAAGCATCAAGGTCATATCTTTTCACAAACTCCGATGGGCTTCATCCTAAGAACCTAAAAGTGAAATATGCTTCGGTATCTTTTTGTTAACCAGAAGTTGTTTTTAGGTTTCAACAAATTTGACCCCATGACCTTGAATATAGGCGATGGTCACTTCTTTCCACAAACTTTGGCCGGCTTCATCCCCACAAAATACCATAACATTTGGTTTGTTGGTTATCGAGATGAAGTTGTTCAAATGGATCAATTGACACCAGATGGAAGGACAACGCACCACAATATAAGCTCACAGTGAGCTAAAATTCAAGACTCTAACCCTTGTAGAACTTGAGAAGTTTGTTTCCTGTAATAACAATTTTTGCCTCTACAAAAACCAAAAGTTGACTGTTGACAATTTTTTTCTTTTTTTTTTTCCCTTGTAGAAAGTGTTTCCTTGGCAATGTACAGAACATGTCGAAATCTGAACTGAATAGGTTATGCCTTTATAGAGTTTAAGTAATTTAGGTAAAAGTGAAAAAGATGTCATAGTGGCCAATTTGAAATGTCGGTATTTTCAAAGGCAAAATTTTAAATGGCATACACTCTAAATGGCAAATGCAAGAGAAAAGTTGAAGACATCAAAATCATACGATTGACATCCTCTGTTGACTGGTAGAAGAACTGGCTCTAAATAACTGACCTTCAGAACCAACAGCAGGATTTTTATTTGCTTTTATTGTAAAAACATGATTGGAAAAAGAATTCAGCCCTGAAAATTATTTACAAAAAGCATAATTGAATGAATGATGTAAAATAAATGGTTTTGGAGTTAATGCATTTTAAACAATACATCCTCCATGACCATAGGGTGGTTATATTACAAATGCTAATTTATTTTATTTTCAATAAATTTTACTGGAATCCATTACCGTTTTAGTCCTACTTTGAACCTTTGATGTGTCTACTACAAAGTCAGCCAAGTCTGCAGGATGTATTCCTAACTAAAAACAATGTTGAAACTGTTAAAATCAAAACTACTACTTAATGTGTAGCCTGAGAAATATTAAATAAAAAAAGTCAACTCGTCGAGCAGTATTTAGAGATTTATTGTTGTTCTTTTCATGATTTAAGCAATACAAACCCCATATGATGCTGAATCCCCTGTGGCTGGAGAGATCGGCATGTACAAGCACAGTGACAGATGGGAATGTTAACAGCATGGAGGTGACAAACACAAGTACCACAAGCGAGTTACAAGACCTGACACTGAACTGTGTGGTCATTAGCAACAATCCTGGGTCTTGCCAGTCAACCATCAATCCATACACGTGTAACATATACCCTACAAGGCGAGGAATTAGGTGAAAATGGTACAAATTAAAAAAGAAATTATAATAGAGCAAGACATAATCTTGGTCGTATGTGAAATTTCATCACGAAAAATGTTTTTACATTCTATATAAGTATATGAGTGTAAACAAACTACGTGTACTGACAAAGGACAACACTAGCTGCACTGATCAATGTTCGCACAACAACGGGTAACATCTTTAAATACATTTTGTATAATAGGGCAATTAATTTAACAGAGAGAAAATAATTATGTAACAGTATTAACAAGCACAGGATATTCTGTACAGAAGACTACAACTGACTTAGAAGTGCAGCACATATTAACTACTTGGCAAATAATAGGCAAACTAAATGGACATTAACATGGCAAAGCAGGATCTGGGAGTCTTATAATCTTTTCTACCTCAAATTCCACATAAGGCCTACAACTGACAAATGTGTTTAAAAACGACACTGATATCACTTGGTTAATGGTGAGAAACATAAAGTGGATGATACACATGTACTATAATGCACTTTGTCCCCATACTATTGGTAGTTGAGAGATGAACTGCGGTCAACAGACCAGTAATGGTCAATCAATAAACACACAGTTATCTTTAAAAAGACTGCACAGTCGTCACTAACCTGCGCTACAAGCAGTTTGGTAAAACTCACAAGTAGCTCTGGTGATAATCAGAACAAAAAAAACAAAACAAACAAAAAAAACAAAAACCCCAGGGATCTATGATTCTAAATACAACCCAAACTAGTAGCTGTAGATTCCATCTACATCGAAGTAGATTCATGATAGTCTGTATCCATTCGTCTTGCACAATTAAATTGGTCGTATTACACATTCATGTTCTCAGCCAACAAACACCTTGTAGGTGGTCGCAGGATAAAATATTGAACTTTTGCATAGATGGAATGCAACGGTGCGAAAGTCACTGGTTACAGCTGGAAGTATTATTGAAGTTTGCGTATTTTTTCCTGTATCCAGAAGATCCTTGATCCTTTTCCCCGTCATATCTGTTTATTTAACAGATTAAATGAATATGCAAGACACAATGAGAAACTTTAAAAATGAACATAAACAGTATTATGAAAGTATTATGCAGCGTGACACAGAAGCCGCCACGAGGTTCTTGATGGATGAAAAACATCTGGAGGTGGAACAAGTTCACTGTATTAGCAATGATAAGGCATATGAATGTGTTTCTAGATATAAATGCCAACCTGGAGAAAAAATTGAAAGGAAAAATTTGTTGAAAGTCTGTAATGATCACAATTTTTGTTGACCACTTGTTTTTTTCTGACCTTGGGTCAGCAATCATTTGCTGGGAATGTCCTTCTGTACCCAGTGACTCCGCTCTCACTCAAAATTACCACCAAAAACACAAAGAGATTCCAGCAAAATCTAGGAAAACTCTCCTCTTGATTTTAGAGCTCGAATGATTTACTTCTTCTTTAATGTGAAGAATCCTTTCTTTTTGTGTTCCTTCTCTGCTGATCCCTCCATCCTAGCCGGCATCGTTTGGGAGCGACCACTAGTGCTTGCAGTCTCCGTGCCTGTCACCAAAACAACCTGTGATATCCAAGTCTCCATCTCAGCCTGAAAGGAATATATTACATTAGGACACACTAAAACATGCTTAAGGAATAATATATTTCTCCTTGCACTCTTTTATATTATAACAATGCAACTTGATGTATCAGTAACAACTTTAATATATCTTGATGCCAAATCTACATAAAGAAACGAATATCGGTTTACTTAAAGCAGCTTTGTCATTCAACAAGAAGCAAAAGGGCCTAAATGGTCAAGTGAACTCACAAACAGAAACAATTAGAATGAATTTGTAGCACAGAGAAGAGAAATATTAACTGTACAGGGACAGGAGTGTTTTACTGAATTTTACATAATGGTGACCTAATAAACAATTGTAAATCTTACCCCCTCCCCTCGGGGAAATGTGAGACAAATGAAATTAACAATTTTCTTAAAAACACCTGAAGACCATTCCATCCATGATGAGTATTTAATTCTACCATTATTGAGGTACTGAAATTTCATTAATTTGACACCTATTGTGTCTGCCTCTCCTGCCCCTGGGAGGTGGGGACCATATAATTTACATTTTTGCTTCCCCTTTGGCCATGAAAGGTTTTGGTGAAATTTCACCTAGATTTTTCAGGGGTTTTCCAGAAGTTTCCATAAGATAGATACAGGCCAGATTGGATAAAAAAGAATTGTAATAGGTCACCATAAGACTTTGTCTCAAATTATTTAAAAACAAAACTTAAATGTGTAGTTGTCTTAAAAAAAAATAATAGTATAATGCACATTTTTCATTGCTGTCTGGAATGTTTTCAGGCACTTAAACAGTCACAATAAGTAGTGTTCCTAAGCCTTATACAAACAACCTACCTCATCTTTCGAATGGAAGAGGTATTCGCCACCAGTGGCAAGCTTGATACGGAACACATTTGGCCGTTTGGTATAGTCAGTGGCCTTGCGACAGGTAGCACTGGCCAGGCTCAGTACAGGTTCATGGTGGATACGATCCTGCTTCTTCTTATCCTTATAACATGACAGGGTGTTACCATGTAGGACCACATACACTTTGTCCCAGGATCTGCAAAATGAAATGATATTATATCATTGATATTGAATGAAAAATGTACTAAGATATCATGGGATTCTTACCAAATGTACGCAACTGAAAAAAAGTTTCTGTTCTGAAAGATTTATATGCTTTTCACTAAGCAGTAGATACTGAAGGCCTGCAGTACTATGTACCCAAAACCAACGAAAATAATTTCATTCTTCAAAAGTATAAGCATTTTGCAAGTGTTGTCTACTTCTTTTGATCATTGGTCTAGCATTTCAGTATCTGCAAATTGTACAGCTTTAGGTGTGGATGGAGAAATATCTGTATGATGTACAGCTGTATGGGTGGGTGGAGGTGTATATATATATATATATATGGGTGGGTGGAGGTATATATATATGATGTACAGCTGTATGGGTGGGTAGAGGTATATATATATGATGTACAGCTGTATGGGTGGGTGGAGGTATATATATGATGTACAGCTGTATGGGTGGGTGGAGGTATATATATATGATGTACAGCTGTATGGGTGGGTAGAGGTATATATATATGATGTACAGCTGTATGGGTGGGTGGAGGTATATATATGATGTACAGCTGTATGGGTGGGTGGAGGTATATATATGATGTACAGCTGTATGGGTGGGTGGAGGTATATATATATGATGTACAGCTGTATGGGTGGGTGGAGGTATATATATGATGCACAGCTGTATGGGTGGGTGGAGGTATATATATATATGATGTACAGCTGTATGGATGGGTGGAGGTACAGCTGTATGGGTGGGGGAGGTTTATTTATATATATGGGTTGGTGCTGATACCTGTTGGTAGCTTTCTCCTCGTCATTCTTCCACTCGTGTTTACGTGTTAACATGCCCTCATGGTGAACTGCCTCTGCACTTGTGGACGGTTGAGCTGTAAGTATTAATAAAAGCATACATTTATATAGACGCCACCAGCATATACAATCCTAAACAGACACTGATTCAATAGTCACAATCAATTACATTCCTTTTACTTTCATCTAAATATTCAATTCTTCAATGAAATTCTATGTCAATTTAATATGATCTGCAGAAATTGGACACAATATCAGTTTAGTAATTACAAAAGATGATTCTGGTTATATCAGCTTTCATTTTAGGCCGACACCTGAAAGCTCTACAAATCATTCCACACTACAAACAGTAAGTCACACTAATGAAGAGTTGTATGCTTGCTCAATGATTTCTGTTTAAGTACTGACCATAAGTTGGACTTACTTGGAGTCATATCAATGGTAATTAGTTTCTGTTAAAAATACTGACCATCAGCTAAACATATTTGAAATATATGCTTGGTCAACACTTTCTTTTAAAGTACTGACCATCAGTTAAACTTAATTGAAATCAAATGATTGGTGAATACACTATCTAAAAATACAGTTCATAATGAATATAATTGTCATTGAAGTTTCAGTAGTTTTCCACTTTTCTAAAAAAAAAAAAAGAAAACATTTGTTAAAAACTGGCAAAATCCACAAATCAACATGACATCACACTATTGATATTTAACAACCTCTATCACACAAATCAAAATTACACACATTCTTACAAGAATCATACCAATATTCCAAAACACTCCGCGTAAACATTCCTAAACACACAGACCTCACAAACATTTCTAAACACACACCCCTCACAACCAGTCCTAAACACACACCCCACAGGGTCAACCACCGTCAATATATGCATGTGTATTAAGTTTTATTTTATCTGGGTAATGAGAAGATTTTTGAAATTTGACTGAAGTCAGTTATGGAGTTGCAGTGTTTTCAGGAAGAAGACAAAAATGTTAAAAGTTTACAACACCAAACGCTGGACAAAAGGCGATCGCAATAGGTCACTCTGAGACTGTGAATAGTTCATTGGGCTGAGAAATTCTCAATATGAAATCAAATAACAGCCATCATGTTTCCATCTGGGGAAAAAAAAGACAAAAGGCTGAAGGTCTGATCTTGGCCAGGGGTACTCAGCACCAAACAAAGTGATGTTTTGGGGCTGCCTGGAAACTCTTGACTTCTGTTAATGGGAATATTGACGTGAAATATCAGGAAATCTTAGAAGAATGTCTCCAGCCTGTCATAACAAGGCATTGTCCTGGTTATTTATTCCAATGTGATAACATACATTGTACAGGGTCCATCAAGGAATATGTTGCCCATGTTGGAATCAACTGGATGAGTTGGCCTGCACAGTCACCAGATTTAAATATTATTGATAATGTTTCAGGTTATGTCAAAAGACTAAGTTTCCCAATAACATTTGTGTAATTGAATGATTGCTTGTTTTGGAATTTGGATGGAGACGAAACCTGCTTACAGCCAGAGCTTGTATAAATCAATCCCTTTTGCAAATTTTAAATGCCATCAGGTTATTTTTTTTTCAAAACAGACACCTTACAACGTATCCACAGGTTAATTTTGTTGCAATGAGGGTGGTAGAGAACTGCTCAACAACTTGTTGAATCTGTAGATTTTACATCAAAATATATAAACACGCAGCCATTGTGACTGAACACTTTTGGCATGTCACAAAAGTCTATTTATATCAATGCCAAATTCTTTTACTCACAACATTTACCTGGAGAAACTAGGTCTTCAGCATCGTCGCTTGCCCGTTTACGAGAAAACAGTTTTCCAAATGGTGATTTGGAACGAGATCTCCTTTCTTTAATATAGAAATGGTAAGATTTAGACAGGAGTGCTTCACCCTGTATTGCTATACTGCTACACTACATGAAGCTACCACTCCCGTGCAGGGCAGGGCGTGTGCGGTACACCTACCTTGTGCTGGTCATGCAACTGTGGAACCAAGCTTGGCTCTAAACCACTCTTCACAAAGCAACGATAACTGGTATGAAGTATAAACCAGTGTCATAAAAATACAACTTCACCCAACAGGTGTATCAAAAGTTCCAACAACGGGTGAATCCAGAATAGCAGATATATACAGATACACTGTATAACCCCAAACAAACATTAAACTTATGGGTATATGGTCCAACAGGACCTGACTATACCAGACCTTTACAATAATAGACTTCTGATGAGGTAGACATTAGGTTAACTAACCAAAATCTGACATCCCAACAATTTAACTATTTACACCTTAGTTATGAGTACAGATAGAAACTTTTGTCCATGGATAAGATCAACAAATTTATCAATAAACCACAACCAGGAAAACAAAAACAAAAATATGGTCAAAAACCGACTCCATCATGGTAATTGATAAGATGCTGATAAAAAGCTGAGGCAAAATCAAGCCCAGATGTATTAGTAGTTTGTCATAAAATATCTTCACAAAATGTAGTGTGAATGAAACTTTGATTATGTATATAATAAAATACTGAAATATTTTAAAATATTATTAAAGATAAAGCATAACCAAGCTAATTGCTATAATAAAGAAAAAAAAATAAATAAATAAATAAATAATTCATTATGCTCTCACACCAGTCTCGCTCAACATACTCCAAGCATTACCACTCGTCTCTTTGTCAAACAGCTTTTCCCAACCTTAACCACTAATTCTGTGAATATCATCCACTAACAGACACACAACATATAACACACCAGTTTCCCGTACATGATCTGCAGGACTCCAGCATCCTCACATCCACAATATCCATCTATACAAGATACAGACAACCGTTCCTAATATATAGCCCTTCAATACAATGGACTCATCCCATTCATACTGCTGTAACAGGTTTGATCAGTGGCAGACTTTTCATGTTCTTCTGATTAAGAGCAGGATGTAATTAACGGAGATGTAACAAACATATTGTTACCCAGGCTACCGTTTCTATGGGTTACACCACAGGATGGCTAACTCTGATTAGATACACTGGCCTACTTCAGAAGGCATCAATCACACCCATGTTATTTCTTAGTAGAACTTCATTATCTTCACATCCTTGTCTTCTATAAGTCATCAAAGGTAAGAATGACACAAAGGATGTATCTACAGTGTTACACAACTACATTCTTTCCACTGATGGTGTAAAATCATGTACCTGGTGGTCAACTGCTTACACTTTACATCTCCAATAAAACTGTCTTCTTTCTGTAATACCTTACAAGATGTCTAACACTGTTCTCCACCATGAACAGAAACATTTTTTTCTTTTAATTCAGAACAGTTCTTGAATTAAACAATCTCGTTCCTAATTAGGGAGAGTTTGTGATATTGTGTAATGAAGTTCTACTACTCAAACATCTCCACAATACACAGATAATATAATTTATCAGTGAAATGATATTAAATATTAAGGTTAATAAGGATATAAAATATATACAATGTTAGCAAGCATATTGATTAAAGCACCAATAATGAATTGTAGCTTATCAATGATATTAGGTTTGCTAAGATAAATGTTAGCTAGAATACAAGTCTACAAAAGCATCATCCACTGGTCACCTCTAGACTGACGAGGACTTTCATTATATCGAGGCTTCTGTTGAAGTTGTTGCTTATTTCGCCCAGGCCGTGCGCGCGATGGCTCGGCACTCAAACGTTCAATTCCTACTGAAAGTGTAACATACCCCAAAAACTTAACAAATGAAATTGCCCCGGCAAATACTAATATTATATCAACTGCTCATTGTTTCCAAAAATGTAAGATTACCAAACAAAATGCAAACAATAATAAACACCAGACAATAATCCATATCTGAAGCCAAGCTACTGTGCAAATTTGAAATAAAATTCTAACTAATATTTTGCAATCAAATTCCAGCAAAGATGTGAAAACTAACAGGCAAAAGAAAAGCATGCAAAAAATGTCTCTTGTACACATCAAATGAAATTTCTCGACACATACTTCAAAAAGCTTGTCACAAACAGGATGCTTTATATTCTATTTACTCATCAAAGATTCATTGATTGTACTAAGAAGAAAATCATACCAATAAGCATTTAAAGTTTACAGTTTTTTTTTAAAATGAAGTAACTACTTTGTTACATGATAAAGAGATCATTTCTAAAATTCTCCTTGATATAAGTTATTAAGGAGATGATAGGATAGCTGTGTTGAATGAGTTCCTCCCAGTCTCCAGTTTTACTGCTATACCTTGCCAAACAAAGTCAACTTTATTTATTTTTTTTTTTTCAAAGTTTAAGAAAATTATGTTAGCAATTACGATGACTACTATAAATTATAACCTATAACTCTAGTCATCGTTAATGATGCCGTAAGAAAACTGGACACTGTGGAGTCATTGGACTATTATGACTGATGATGATGGAATGTACCTCTGATGCTGACAAACGTATCACCAATGTTAACCTACTTTGTGGTGCGGCCCCTCTATCCTCCGGCGATAGTTGGGGTCTATCAGGGCGAGATTCGCCTGCTGACGGCTCAGCATGAGTTATCTCATCCTTATCGGCAGTAATTAGCTGTTGTCCTTCTACTGTGACAAAACATAAAACAACATGCCAACTAAACTAAACAGTAAGGCCAACATCTAATCACACAATATATACCTACAGGAAATAATTCATATTCCAACTTTATAACCATTGTTTTTGTCTACTACCTATGTACAACAATTACTGTTGTTAATCCCTGTAAATTGAATCAAGATATTCCTGTAGGCATATAATGTGTTAAAAATTAAATCAAAAGACATCCAATGCTGCAAAATGGAAACGTAACGGTTGTCTGTCCATATCAAACAGCATTTGTCAAATAAATAATAAATAGCTGCATGAAAAGTAAACATCTTTTTTATCGCTGATTGTTTTTTTTTTTTTTTTTTTTGTAATTCAATGGTTTTTATTCCATTGTTTTCAACTGCCAAAAATTAAGATGTTTGAACACATCTTTTCTTAGCCAAAACTTTGAAGCTTCACAAAGAACCTTTTTATACAGCTACTTTAATACTACACATCACACAACTCAAAACAAGTGATTTTAGGATAACAAATGCAGGAGACAGGATTAGTAAAAGGTTAGATTATCTGTTAACTCCATCAGAAAGTTTGGTGTTTTCCTCTTTCTTTCGAAATGTTCACATACTATAAAAGTGGTACTTTTGTTGTACTGGTAGTTGTTCAATGTCGAGGAATCTGTGTCTGATGGGTTTATTTACAACTGAGTTTAGTCATTAGTGCTCATAACTCATAATGTATATAAAAATTCAAACCCCTTCCTCAGAACAAAATCTGTACATACTGAAATCATCATAATCAGAGTCATCTGAAAGTTTACAAAGCATCTGGTTGTTAAACTCTTATATAAACAAAGTTAGTCCAACGTTAATATTGTTCAATTATTTTATAATTAATTTTCAACACCATATCAAGTGTTCAAAAACTACTCAGGAGTTAATAAAAACTTCTATTAGTAAACCTGAATGAGAAAGCAACACTGAGACAGAAAGAAAACATCAACTGATTTCTGTATCACTGGGCAGGGCCATGCAGGGACAGATCAGAAATATGGTTCACACCCACACAAAGTATAGGGCATGTCACCTTTTTGTCCACGAGACCGGGGAAGAGTAGTCGGTCCAATCAGGACTCCTGTCATAGATAATGAATGTTAGCCACACTATACATTGGGAGCTCCGGTCTTTATCAGTATCATACAAATTGAAAAATATTACAAAACACAATGATCTTTATTGGGTCTTCATTAGTCTGACTTTATCCCTCTGAGGGCCCACCATTGTATGATCTGTAACAGATCTTTATAAGTTTGACTTTATCCCTCTGAGGGCCCACCATTGTATGATCTGTAACAGATCTTTATAAGTTTGACTTTATCCCTCTGAGGGCCCACCATTGTATGATCTGTAACAGATCTTTATAAGTTTGATCTCATCCCTCTGAGGGCCCACCATTGTATGATCTGTAACAGATCTTTATAAGTTTGACTTTATCCCTATGAAGGCCCACCATTGTATGATCTGTAACAGATCTTTATAAGTTTGACTTTATCCCTATGAGGGCCCACCATTGTATGATCTGTAACAGATCTTTATAACGTTGACTTTATCCCTATGAAGGCCCACCATTGCATGATCTCTAACAGATCTTTATAAGTTTGATCTCATCCCTCTGAGGGCCCACCATTGTATGATCTGTAACAGATCTTTATAAGTTTGACTTTATCCCTATGAAGGCCCACCATTGTATGATCTGTAACAGATCTTTATAAGTTTGACTTTATCCCTATGAAGGCCCACCATTGTATGATCTGTAACAGATCTTTATAACTTTGACTTTATCCCTATGAAGGCCCACCATTGTATGATCTGTAACAGATCTTTATAACTTTGACTTTATCCCTATGAAGGCCCACCATTGTATGATCTGTAACAGATCTTTATAAGTTTGACTTTATCCCTATGAAGGCCCACCATTGTATGATCTGTAACAGATCTTTATAACTTTGACTTTATCCCTATGAAGGCCCACCATTGTATGATCTGTAACAGATCTTTATAAGTTTGACTTTATCCCTATGAAGGCCCACCATTGTATGATCTGTAACAGATCTTTATAACTTTGACTTTATCCCTATGAAGGCCCACCATTGTATGATCTGTAACAGATCTTTATAACTTTGACTTTATCCCTATGAAGGCCCACCATTGTATGATCTGTAACAGATCTTTATAACTTTGACTTTATCCCTATGAAGGCCCACCATTGTATGATCTGTAACAGATCTTTATAACTTTGTGAAGGCCCACCATTGTATGATCTGTAACAGATCTTTATAAGATGAAGGCCCACCATTGTATGATCTGTAACAGATCTTTATAACTTTGACTTTATCCCTATGAAGGCCCACCATTGTATGATCTGTAACAGATCTTTATAACTTTGACTTTATCCCTATGAAGGCCCACCATTGTATGATCTGTAACAGATCTTTATAACTTTGACTTTATCCCTATGAAGGCCCACCATTGTATGATCTGTAACAGATCTTTATAATTTTGACTTTATCCCTATGAAGGCCCACCATTGTATGATCTGTAACAGATCTTTATAACTTTGACTTTATCCCTATGAAGGCCCACCATTGTATGATCTGTAACAGATCTTTATAAGTTTGACTTTATCCCTATGAAGGCCCACCATTGTATGATCTGTAACAGATCTTTATAACTTTGACTTTATCCCTATGAAGGCCCACCATTGTATGATCTGTAACAGATCTTTATAAGACTTTATTTGACTTTATCCCTAAGTTTGAAGGCCCACCATTGTATGATCTGTAACAGATCTTTATAAGTTTGACTTTATCCCTATGAAGGCCCACCATTGTATGATCTGTAACAGATCTTTATAAGTTTGACTTTATCCCTATGAAGGCCCACCATTGTATGATCTGTAACAGATCTTTATAACTTTGACTTTATCCCTATGAAGGCCCACCATTGTATGATCTGTAACAGATCTTTATAAGTTTGACTTTATCCCTATGAAGGCCCACCATTGTATGATCTGTAACAGATCTTTATAAGTTTGACTTTATCCCTATGAAGGCCCACCATTGTATGATCTGTAACAGATCTTTATAAGTCTGACTTTATCCCTATGAAGGCCCACCATTGTATGATCTGTAACAGATCTTAATTAGTTAGATGTTTTCTTTTCTTTCTATTTTTTTTATCTTAATTATATGCGGTATAAAATACTGAGAGGTGAACTAACATTATTACGATAACAACATCTAATAATCAAAACCATATATGAAATTGAAAATTTTTTTAAATCATTCACAAAATTTAACATGCACAACTAAGGACCCAGGGGAACTTCTGCATGAAATTTTATAAAAATTCATCAAGACCTTGGTAAAAATATAGCAATAACAAACAGCATTTTGCTTTTCTTATCAAACTTAACAAAGAACACAGGCATTAAAGAAGGAAAGGAAACCTACATAGGAAGACAAAGACCTCTTGGGCACTTAAAAAAAAAATAACTGCTGCGATTTTGTTTTTTCTGACGAGTTCCAAAAATTCACAACTAAGGACTAAATGGAAGCTACACAGGAAAACTAAGGATACATCAAGTACTTTACAGAAATAGTGATGTCAAACTGTCAAAATCCAAGATGGTTGCCTTTCAGCTACTTTGTTTTTCCAATCAGTCCAAAGTTTCAATGCACAGATACAGATCAAGGTGAACATATGTAGGAAATCTGAGAATTACCAATCCTGAACTTGTCAAGAAATAGAGATAACAAAAAATGTTTCAGAAAACTTGGACAAGGGAAAACAGATGGACAATGAGAGATTTGAACAACCCAACATATGATAATGGTAGGCTAAGGATGTGATTTGGGATTCGGCTTAGACCTAAGGTAATAAAGAACTTTTATACTATAATAAGGATAAATTTGACCATGCAATGTCAGTAGGGTTGTCATGATGCAACATAGGACAGACTATAAGTGATATAGTCTAAGTAGTGAACTACGCCACACCCACACAGTAACGAGGGATGCTGTTCACCTTTCACGCCTTTGGACCTTGGTAAGGTCGACCGTCCTGAAGGACCTGTAGGACACAACAACAGTCAGAAACAAGCGACAATGACACACAGCCAATACAAAGCCACATGAGGTTGTTTCTCTTTGTGTTTCCAAAGGCACAGACATATTTACAATTATTTCCTGAGGCATTTCTGGGACTGTATAGACATGGTTTAATGTTTTCCATGATGAAGTTATTTTCAAGGGTAACAAATATTTTCATAAATTGCCCGACAGTTGTGGAATAAAGTTTTAGTTTTCAGTGTTACATCGTGACACAGGCTCTACATTTATATTGAATGTCCATCAATTTACCATTCAACATGCTAGTACAGGACTTGTTGACGAGAACACAGAAACATTAACCAAAAAGATATTAAGTTAGTAGTACTGGATTAGTTATACTGGAACATATCCTATGTCTTGCATTTTGTCAGAATTTGATTAAAGTCTATTGTATAATGCACACAAATACTACAACATAAATAGTGTTACAGAAAAACGATCATTAACTCAAACTAAAACATGTTATATAAGATCTACAGAAATCATCTGACAACAAATAATATTAGAAAGATCAACTACAACAATTGAAGTGTAACATGCTTTTAAAAAAAGACTTCTACAACATATTACTGTATAACATGATATGTTCCTTGTGTAGAAACGTTTTGTCAATATGACAGTATATAAACCAGAAAAATAAAATGGAATTATACAGATTTTTAGGTATATCTATATGACATCCTTAAACATGTAAACCATTAAAGATTGTCTTAGAAATAAACTATAAAACAAAGTATCGGAGAACATCTGGTGTTATACAGTGATCTGTTGTGGTCTTTGATAGTTTCTTTCTTAATGCTGAAATAAACATCTTCATACAACATGAGTAATGTGTACAGGTCTGACCATCACAATAAAACAAGGACACAAGACAGAACATACCTGCAGCCTCGGCTACTGGTTCAGCTTCAGCTACGACCTGTCCCTCCTCAACAGCAGGTTGTTCTCCATCCACAACATCTGACTGTACCGGCACTTCTGGCTCTGGCTCAGGAGTAGGTCTGTGTAACAAAGCACATTGAGACAACATTTTAAATCGTACTCTTCAACAAGAAAGAAAAGAATGTATAATCATGCACCATTGCTCTGTGGATAAGAATTATTTTTGCATTTGTACCGTTACTCATTGGGTAAGACAATTTCTCTATTCAAATATGGTTACTCTTGGGCAACATTTTTTCTATATATGTACACTGCTCTGTGGAATGGATTTCTTCTATATACGTACAGTTAAAATAAGGGTTAAAAATGATTTTCTATTCATGAATGGTTGCTGTAGGGGTAAGATATTCATAATACAATTCCTATCTAGGGGTAAGAATTTGTTCATATATATACAGTTTAAACAAGGTCGATATGTGTATGATTGCTCTGAGGGTAAAAATATTTCTATGTACTTACGGTTGCTCTGGGGGTAAAAATTCTTGTATTAATTTCCTCCTACGTTCTTCTTTTTCTCGAAAGACTTCCTCTGGATGTTCACTCTTGTATTGTTCTGCCTCTCGTTTCTCTTTGGTTCTCATTTCAAACTGTAAAGTGAGTAAACACTTATAAAACAATCTGCTTGTTCATTCTTTTTATGATCAATTAAGAATCAATATTAATTAGAAAGAGATGGGATGAAAAATGAGAGAAGACAATAATAAATGTTGAAAGATAAAAAAAAGGAAAGCAGTAACTCTTTAAATGGAGTTCCTGAAAACAAAATCTCACGTTATGATGAACGATTACTTACTGATGTTAATTTTTCTAAAGCAGTAAATCTTTCTTCTTGAGTTGAAGCTGATTTTTCAAATGCTTCATGTTTCTTGATCAAGTTTTCAACAGCATCTAAGGTATCCTGTAAAAGATAAGAGTTACAACTAGTCACAATCTAGTCATTGACCAGAATCAGTATTATTGAAACCATTCCCAATATACAGCAACAAAGTTCTTTGTCAAGCAGTAACTTCTGTCTCACTAATCACTGAAGTGACTGTAGAGGATCAACTTCAGCAAACCGAAAACTACCAACTCTAGTAGAGTATATTTCTTTTCAGGAAGAAAGAGCTTATATTGTTCATGTCCTATCTTCATCATTACGAACAATGGCATAGTTCAGAATAAAAACATGTGCCTAACATTCTTTCAGATTCATGTAATATTGAAAAAATATATTGAATTATTGGTTTGATGCATCTTCTCATCAATCTTTTGACATTTGTTTTCACTCCCCTTTTTGGTAAGCACACTTGTACCGAAGTCCCTTACCATCACTGATGGATTCTAGAAGGACAAAACAGCTAGTGTGGTGTAGTTTCATTATCTAATGTACACTGTATCTTTTACCAAATGTGTGCTATTCACTCGTGCCTGATGTACAATTTTCCTCAATAACTTTTCAGATTATCAGACATTATTCATTCTACTCACACCAAAGTCTGGATTCTGCAGGTATGATTCTTGTGCTAACAGCCATGACTCTGCAACGGCAGCATCTCGGGCAAACTGGTAGACTTCAAGGACTGTAAAAGTTACATAAACACAGGGTTTGACAACTATCTAATGTTTAACATTCGCAATATTGAAATGCTTAATACTCCATATGGACTGTTGTCTGCTCAATGATTAGGTTGTTCTATGGCATAAACAGGAGGAGTTTTAATGATACATGGAGGTATGTTTTCTATGGTATAAACAGGAGGAGTTTTAATGATAAATGAGAACAGGTTTTCTATGGTATAATCAGGAGGAGTTTCAATGAGAAATGATAACAGGTTGTTCTATGGTATAAACAGGAGGAGTTTCAATGAGAAATGATAACAGGTTGTTCTATGGTATAAACAGGAGGAGTTTCAATGATAAATAAGAACAGGTTTTCTATGGTATAAACAGGAGGAGTTTCAATGAGAAATGATAACAGGTTGTTCTATGGTATAAACAGGAGGAGTTTCAATGATAAATGAGAACAGTTTTCTATGGTATAAACAGGAGGAGTTTTAATGATAAATGAGAACAGTTTTCTATGGTATAAACAGGAGGAGTTTCAATGATAAATGAGAACAGGTTGTTCTATGGTATAAACAGGAGGAGTTTCAATGAGAAATGAGAACAGGTTTTCTATGGTATAAACAGGAGGAGTTTCAATGATAAATGAGAACAGTTTTCTATGGTATAAACAGGAGGAGTTTTAATGATAAATCAGAACAGGTTTTCTACTTACTGAGCTGTAGGTGTTCCCATCTTTCTTCCCATTGGTCAGTCATGTCCTGTCGCTGCGTCGTCACCTGTATTAATTTTTCCCGTACCTGTAACATCACAAAAAATGTCAGAATATTACTTTTGTCCTTACAAAAAAAAAACTTCCTTTAGTACCTCACCAATAATGCTAATATTACTTCAAGTAGTCTTTTAAAACCTGTTCTTCTGTTAAAGTGTACCCTTAGTGGTTTGCTATATATTTAGCTGTTAATATGTTTAGCTGTGAAATACTTCATATTATACAATAAACGATCAGGAAAACGCAAACGTCGTTGTTAATTCCGTTGCCTAGTTATTGTGATTTATCTGAAATGCACATGTTTGACTCAACGGCGATTGCCTCGATATGGGTGGCCCATGTATGTGACATCATAAGTTCAACGCTGTCAAAACAGCCCTACAGAAATATACCAGGAAGCTGTGTTCGATATGCGAGACTTTTAGCTTCTTATTTCATCTATTTTGTTGGCACTTACTTTGGCCGGTTATACTTGATGTACAGGTATGCAGGTATCTGAATGCACTGATGCTATCTTAATTAATGTTCTCATAATTCATGAATCTAGAGACTAAATATGATACTTTTTATTATCCATGTGGTCTCTAGAAATTATGACAAACTCTTTATTTATACAACACAAACCGACCACTGATTAAAAATCCTGTCAAATTAACAAAAGCAACCCAGCACACCATACAAAATCTACACCCATAACAAGCAGCAACACATGTATTTCAATCTGACAGCAATGTGAATAAGTGTTTAGTATTTGTGACAGAAATTGTCTTGAATTCCTTCCATGGCAGCTGCTAACTGTTGTTGATGTGACAGCCGATAGGGTTAAATTCAGCACGAGTCATCCTTAGATTGATCAGTAGGAGGAGGATGGGTGAAAATTGTGCACTTTACATGTCAATATCTCAGTAATGAGCCAGCCAATTGTTAATGTGGTTTTCAACCTATTCAATTTTAGACCATGAAATATAATACTAAATTCTATTCCATTTTAACTCGGGGTACACTCTAAAAGCAAAAGGGAATCTATACTTTTTCTATAACCAATAATATATCAAAGTTAAAAGAAGAGCACATTTGGTATACAACTCTGATTATCTGACACTTACTTCCTCTACTCGGAATCCATTCCTCTCTAACAAATCTTTCCCTAAGTTGATACAAATGGCAAAGTTTTCCTCTCGGGCATCTATCTCGGCCTTCAGACTCTGGTGGTTGTTCATAAGCAGTTCCACACCCGAAACATCCCTGTAAAGGTCAAGGTCACACAATTAAACTAGGTCAAGGTCAGATTCCACAATCATAGTTGAGTGTAGGAAAAAGTATACTAAAATACATAAAATGTCAACTTATAGAAACAAAAGATGTCTTGTACTGAACTGTATAAATATGTTCTGTCCTATAAATATGTTCTGTCCTATAAATATGTACTGTCCTATAAATATGTTCTGTCCTATATGTACTGTCCTATAAATATGTACTGTCCTATAAATATGTACTGTCCTATAAATATGTACTGTCCTATAAATATGTTCTGTCCTATAAATATGTTCTGTCCTTATACATAAGAAGAACAGATCTAAAGGTTTTTTTCCTTTTATCTATTTTTTTCTCACGAATATGTAAATTTTCCATCATAACACATATATCTGCCTGTAGAGTAATTTGTGCAATAATGCAATATCTTAAATAATAAAATATTTGAATAATAACTATCTAATTCCACTGATATCTGATGATGGTCTGATAAGTCAATATTCATATATGACAAAACTGATGGTATAGTATATCATTTTCATCTATTTTTACAGCGTCCAAGACTATATTACAAATCACAAATAATCAACAACAAATCCAGAGTGATACATACAGTTTACATTCCATCAGTACTGTAGTGGTATTTTTTAATAATCCTACCATATTCCCTGTATCAAGTACTTAGCTACCATTAACCTACCAAACTAGTACTAGGCCTTAAGCATAACTTATTCCTTGTAACAAGTACTTAGCTACCATTAACCTACGAAACTAGCACCCTGTCTGTAGAACAAAGCTTTATACTTTCCCTGTAAATGACACTAGGCCTTACATTTACCCTGTCTGTAGAACAAAGCTTTATATTTCCCCTGTCAATGACACTAGGCCTTACATTTACCATGTCTGTAGAACAAAGCTTTATATTTCCCCTGTCAATGACACTAGGCCTTACATTTACCCTGTCTGTAGAACAAAGCTTTATATTTCCCCTGTCAATGACACTAGGCCTTATATTTTCAATATATTTAGTACTGGACTTAACATTCTTCCTTATAACTAGTACTGCAGACATCTTATACCAGTAACCTACCTTGGCTTCTCTTGTGTTTTCATTTGTCTATTGATGTCGTCCATCCAGTGTTTGAGATCTCTCACCATCATCAAGAAGCGGTACAGGTCACTGGCATCTGCAAGGTCTGCCTTACGTGACTGTACACGGAAGTGGAGGTTCTTCCATGCTTCAACTACCTCTCGCTCCTTATTCTGGATCTCTAAGCGACGGTCACCAGCATACCCGGCCTGTAATCTCACAGACTCTTCCTGTACTGTTTGTACATTTGCACCAAGTGTGACAAGGTCATTTTCAAAGTTAGCATGTTTTCTTTGTAAGGCTGCAACACTTTGAGCATCTCTTCCCAGTTCCTCTGGAATATGGTTCTGTTTTTCCTGTATGATGGAATGAAATTATGAAACACATGATACTGTTGCATGTAGAGATTTATGGCAGGTTTTTTGTGTTTTTGTTTTTCATTTATTTATATTTTTTCATTCTTATATAAGTAATAATGTGTCAATATACTTTAATGAGACTTTAAAAAAAATATCTATTCTGCATCCTAAAACACAACACCAACAATCCTCCCAAGTCAAATAAAAAAATGATGTAGCTGTATATCATTTTTGTTGATGATACCTTCCATACTATGTACAGAAGAAACATTCACCTTCTGTCTCCCAAATCACAACTTACCACAATTCTTTCAAGAGTGTCTTTACATTCAGAGTAAAATTTATGAAGTTCCCAGGAAGCTTGAAGCATTTGTGTTCTTGTATCAATCAGTTCTAATAAGTCATTCCACGCTTCATTCAAATTGTCCTTCCATTCTGCAATAGCGGCTGCATCAGAATGTTCTGCAGCTATTAACTGATCACAATTTTCATTTGCAGCCGATACTCGTTCTGTTCCTATGCTTTCTGTATCACGAGCAAATTCCTTAAACCTCTCCTTCAGCATCTGTAAGACAAGAAAGGATATAATGGACATGTTGGAAGATGAGTATATATAAAAAATATTGTTATTTATCAGAGTATTCTGTATCAAATCAACACAAAAACATTTTCAGGTTCCCACCCCAATTTTTTTTCAATGTATACTCACAGATACATGTTCATAATCTTGTCCGAGCTCCTGTGAACCAGCCACCAGTTCTCGTTCAGCGATCCACTGCATGATGTCATCGATCTCTCTCTGTAATACATACAGCTTGAGAACCTCCTCCAATTTACTTTTCCTCTCATGTGACAAGTCTTTAAGACCAGCATACAACTTGTCTACTTGGGACTGCCGTACAGCTATCTGGTCACTGAAATAACCATCACAACAGTTTTAATGGCAACTTCAAAGAATATTAAATCATAGAAAATTTAAATGATCAGTCCACACTATAATAAGTATAAATGGTGTAACATACTCCTGTTTAAAATGGATGTGAAATCGGAGACTTTCAACACTTTTCTACAAATACTTTTGTTACAAAAACCATAAATAAAATCATTTTCATATCACTTACAAAAACATTTTTGAAAATGGAAAAGAACAAGAGGCCAAGAGGGCATATATTACTCATCTTGTTTTGTTTGGTTAAAATTGCTTCGTCCAAATTGAAAGAAAATTGCTTCATCTAGACTGATGGAAAAGGAATTCTAAATATCAAAGTACACCATATCTATTTCACCATTGGGTCCTATCCTTCTGTCCCTACCAGTCAGCTAAATATTCATTCTTCAGACCAAATTGTGCCAAATCCAAATTCAGGTCTTTTATTTCAAAATAGTATTCCCACAATAATTCCTCTTAGAACACCAATGTTAAATTGTAAGTGATGTATTGCCATCCAAATTTCTCAGTATTTATATCAATTTATCTTTGTCTGATTATATTTTAACAGGAGATAATTGATTAAATTACCTTTCTGGATGATCTGTGTCTATAAGATTTCTGCTCCTCTCACCCAGCTGTCGAACCACATCAGCATAGTCCTCTACAGCATTCTCTAAAGCCTGGTGTTTCTTCATGAAGTTCTGAGCACCGATCTCATCCTTGGCGCGCTCGTCTCCCATCATATAGAGTTCTTGTTCACTCATCCATGCCTCTGCTTCAGACGCATCGTAGTAGTACTGTAGAGAAATATAGTGAGTGAGGTCATATCTAATAATAAAAAAGTAAGTCACTTGCTGAAATTATCTGATATTCTTATCAATCATAGCAATGTCATAGGAATATTTTTCATCACATTTCAGACCAAACTTCAAATATTTTTAATTTATATTGAAGATAAGCAATCTTGAAAAAGAAAATCACAAAATGATAAAATGTTTTGAAATAGAAACTATTTTTTTGAAACACATACTTGTTGTGCAATATCGGAGAGATTCAGTCTGTCCTTGCGTTTCTCCACTGCATCATTGAGGTCTTTCCAGCGTGTGAGAAGATCATCGATGAGTGCCTTAAATTCCTCTGATTGTGGGTGTTCCTCTGCAATAAGTGTCTGTCCCACTTCCACCACTGACATTATTCTTGGTTCGTGGTTCTCTATTTCTGTCTGTAAAGACTGTAAACAAGGGGGGCAACTCCTTTATCAGTCACAGTACAACAGGAATACCTACATTAGGTTATATGCCACAACAATTTTAACATATCACATTTTCAAATCTAAAGAAAATTTGAAATATCATGCAACATAGAATCTGGAGACTGTTTTCTGAAAGAACCAATATATATATAAAATATTTCGTTTCTAGGGCAAAGTTTGCAATTGTAAATTTGTTATTACAAATTAGGTTAAGATATTAGTTATACCAGTGACAGATCAGTATTTGTCTACCAAATAAATATTACTAGATACAGGTGATGAATGATGATACTCCTTCTGAAAGTTAGTCAGATTCTGTATACCTGAAGCCAAAATTTCATGCCAAAATAATTCCATTTGAATAATGTGATAACTTCCGATCCAATGCTTGAAAAGCACTGTCGGACTTTGCAATGAAACTGATAGTTTTACCTAAGCATGCTGACCATCAACAGCAATCTGAATACATGTACGTTGTCACACCCAATCCAATGATCCTTTGTATATACATATATATAATGACAGACAGATATGAGGGTACAATCTGATTACTTAAAAAGGATTCAAGAGGTCATTTCATGGTCAGTAATTTGGCTTTATTCCATTTAATTTGAGGGTTGTTTTTTTAATCGCTTGATCAATTTAACTCATCCTTTTTTTAATGTTGGTGAGCTTACAAAGATGTTCCCATGAGCAAAATATTTCTTCTTTCCAGTCATGAATCCTTTTTAAGCGATGTCACAACATGTGATGTACAGATAAAAATGTTTTAGCAAATCTGCACTGGACTTTACATCTGGTCTTATGGATTTTCCATGAAAATTGGAAAATACAAAGAATCTGAAATTCTTGTAGTGAAAAAAGGAGGAAAAAATATACAATAAGCTTTTTGCTAAATAATATTCTATACTGAAAATTGAAGCTAACTTATGTTTTCTGAAAAGAGCTTGTTTTCTGAAGAGAGAAATTTTTTCTTTCATTTTTGCATTAGCCCTGAAAAGGTTGAAGAAGCAAAACCAGGTGTCTTTCAAATTAAAAAAAAAACAAAATTTAAACTATAACATTAAAGCCCCTATTCCTATACATGTGACCTTTGACCCCTTAACCTTGTGCGACATTCACCTTAACCTGATCATGTGCAGTTTTTGATATTATGATTTATGATACTGTAACTCTGTTGTGAGTTTCTGAAGGACAGGACCGATGAAACAGACATGGAAAACATTATATTGCTCCTCCCTCCCAATAATTGAAGAGTAAATAAAAAAGATGATGATCTGAATTATTCTACCATACAAATATATGTTCAAGGCTGTACATGTGGTGTTAAATGCTGAATATGAAATTAGTACAGAGTAGCTGATGTGAAGTAAGTTTCTTTACAAGTAACGCTGCAAGTTATCCCTCAACATATTGGCAACTGTAGTGCTGTATATTATAGCAATATTTACAGGCGAGACAGATATAAATATGTATATGATTATCTACATGAACTCTTGATGTTATACAGATGAATATCTTACGTACAAAAAGGCGTCCACTGCCTCGAATGGCGGTTGGCTGTGACCAGATAAAATTCAGTAAAAAACAAAATTTTCAAAAACCTTTATAAAGATCAACAACATGCTGAGCTTTAACCTCAAGTCAAGTACTGTTTATCAAACATTCAAATCTATTATCACAAACAAGACGCCTCCAGTTTCCTGGCCCACTCCATCTATTATTACTAACATAAAGAACACTTGTTATTACATATTAATAAACTTTTTCCAATATGAATAAAAAATCCTGTTAATAATCTTTGTATATTGACACCTGAAGGATTAGGTCCAGAAAAATTCCATATCATCAACTGTCAAGAAACCTGTGTCAGTTAGAGATAAAAAAAAAAAAAAAAAAAAACTCACCTGGTTTTTCTTTGTCAACAGTTGATTGCTAAGGAGACTATTTCCGAAATTGTTAGACATAGCAATAGGCATTTTCTCATCTATCCAGAGTTTTTCATCCTCCACATCACGGATGAATTGATGAATACGCTTCACTTTCTCCAGTTCATTCCTACGTTTCACCAGCGGTTGTTGAATGTGTGCAAACCTGAAATGTATTTTCGTGTTGAAAAATCATGTCAGAGTTAATATTATAAGACCCTCACTTAAATAGAGAAGGAAGGGAAGAGATAAGGGATACAAAATCTCAAAGGAGAGGAAAAAAACAACAAATGTTGCTTTAAATAAGACCTACTTTCATGATAAAGAAGAAAACATGAAATGTATCTCAAAGCCATACCTTTCTGCAACAGCAGCCTTTCTGGCCTCTATCACAGCTTCCTGTTTAGGATCTACACGCCTTAAAATGATGGCTTGCTCATCTAACTCTGTAACTTGCTGTTCTTTCATCTTCATTTGAGACTCCAATTGCTACAAGGGAAAAAACAGTTTAATAACTGTAGTATATTAAAAACAGTTTAATAACTGTAGTATATTAAAAACAGTTTCAACAAACATGTTCCAAACAAATTCATTTAAAGTGATTTATAAGAGCGAAAAATAGTAGTTAAATGTTTGTATTCAAAAATTAACATGTTAATTCTCAACATAAACACAAATCTAACCCAGCATCAGAACTTTGTTTGATATGTGAAATGATCCTAAAGACAATATTACCCAATAAAAACGAAAGTGCCTTCTTTTTTATTTGCCTCATCTTAGAAAAGTACAGAACATTTTTGTAATCAAGCATGTTGGTGCTTAACACTCAAGAGCTGTCAATGTCAAAAGGAAGGAAAGTTTTATAGGTAATCATCAAGCTATTGAAAGCTCTCCAAGCTTTATAACATCAACACATGAAATTTAATCAGTGTGGAAAAAAAAATTAATCTTCTACATGCCCGTTTGCAGACAGACGAGAAAATTTTCATGTAAATATTTCATGTTATTAAGAAGCAGTGGAGAGATTATTGACATCTGTTCAAGTTAAAACAGTAATCAGTATCTATGAATAAGAAAGAGAGAAAACATGTTGTCATGGATGGGAGAACTATCCAACAATGTAACCCTACCACACCCACCAAATATTTACTTTTTTTTTGTAAAGGGTTTTTGTAATTGCATCTAACAATATCACATACATTTCAGTCAAGAGACCAGATCTTGATTTTATACTTCAGTATACCAGGTTAATGATGCACGTCAATTAGACATTGGATTTTCATCCCCAAACTTCAATTCTCCTTCATTCAGGCCTTTTTTTGTGGAATGAAGTGTTAATATACACAAGTGAACCATAACATAACTTACACTCTGTTTCTGCATGAGAAGGTTAACCGTTGTAAGATCTTTGGCACTTTCCTCTGAGATGATCTGAGTCTCCAACTGGTTAATCCAGCCATCAATATCATCACAGCTCTGTTGGTAGAGGACGGCCCTGTTGGTGTCAAACAGACGCTCAGCCTTTGATTTGGTGGTAGTTTCCAGTTCATCCCACTGCTCTGACAAACTAGCCAGGATTGGTTCGATTTGTTCTCGTGTCTCTGGCTTCTCTTTCAGAAGAGTTTCTCCAGACTGCAACAAATTTCCAAAGTACAGATTTAACATTTAAGAACATTTGGACAAGGCAGCAAGATATTTCAATTTTTTTTTCACACTCTATATTTCGCTTTAAATGATAGCAGTACATCACTACAAATCAAACTACTTTGACAGTTGAACTAGATCATTTTAGTTAATATATGGTGTAGATCCTACCTCCATGAGATGCTGAAGTCGTTCCTTGTTGGCAGCAATCTCACGCTCAAAGGCTTGGTGACGAAGGTATTTACTGTGTAGGTTTTTGGCATCTCTGTATGTTTCATCCTGAGCGGCAGCCATTTTGTCATGAAGCCAGTCTCGCAGCTGAAATTTCATTCAAATCATTATGACTAAACCAGTCTCACAGCAAACACTGAAGTTTTGAGATACTTGGCCACCAATACAAATGAGTCTTACTGGAAATGAATTAGAACTTTAAACCAGTCTCACAGGGATTTTTTTAAGTTACCCTTCTATCTCCCTCTATACCACTTTTTACTAAAACAGCTTTTGTGAAAATCATCCAAAACAAGAGTTAGACCAGGTGTTGATGCCTAACACAAGAAATTTTCACAATTTTCCATGTGTTATTTATTTACCTCATCACATTCCTGTAGGAACTGCTGTAACAGAAGTTGGTCCTTGAGACGCTCCAACTGTTCATAAACTCGCTGGCGGTTCACATCACGTCTGTAATTTCAAGAATCCAACAACTTTAATGTCAAATATAAAAACACTAAACTGACATTGGAAGACAGAGTTACAAACACTTAAATGTCTCTAGATATTGTCCGATTATCATAGTTTCTATGGTAACAGGAGACAGCTACAAACACTGTAATGTCTCTAAATTTTGTCTCATGATCAATGTTTCTATAGAAACAGGAGACAGATATAAACACTGTAATGACTCTAGGTTTTGTCTTATATAGTTTTATATAGCAAATCTGTTCAGTTTTTCATATATTAAGTGAATAATTCAATGTTTTTATACAGTTAATATGTTAAGTGGTTTATATATTCTATTCAGGTGTAAAACTAGACATTTTATACAGTAAATATGTTTTGTGGCCTAAATAATATTCTTTACACCTTAGGTATAATGAAAAGGAGCACTCTGATATAACAAGAAACATATTTAACATGAATCCCATTTCAAAAGTTAAAAAAAAAATATTTAAAAATTTTCAACTTAATGTTCAGTAGAATACTACCTGCGGACACAAAAAAAACTAACCTCTCATTGATGTTTTCAGCCTTTTTGTGAATTTTATCAGCAGCATAATGGTTGTCCTCGATCAGACGGTTGGCAAACTGTAAAACTGCATTGATTTTCTCATCGTTTGCATCTGTCGTGGTGATAAACGCCTCATGGGCTTTGATTAGGTTCTCGGCAGCCTCCAAAGTATTCTGTGAAAATAAACATCCGTAATATAAACTGGGCACTGTTCATTAGTCAACCTTTCACCCTGACAAGACCAAATGATTACCTGTCAGAGTCATTCTAGTTAAATATTGTTCATTTAAGTTACAACAATTCAATCACTTTGTAAATTAAGAGCCAAAATCATTATACTTGTTTCCTGAAAATGCAATGTCAGTTGTGAAGGTGAAAAAGTATGACGGATAAAATTCTCCCTGAAACCTCACCCAATATTTTTTTCTCTTATTGTCTAAAATACAGACTTCATCAGCTGCACAGAATTCCACAAAAATGGGGGGGGAAAAAATCATAATACACCGATTCACAGTTCCAATGACTGACATTGCAAATCTGGGGGCCAATCCAGATACTGGGACACCTTACAAAGGAGGTGGGGAAACTTGTCTTAACCCTATGGACAAGAGGACACATGGATTCCAAAAGTCTAACTATTCACTAACTAACTTGGGATTTTAATTAGAATCCATCACTTTAAAAACAAAAACTGGTTATAGCAGTCATTTACTTACATAAAGAAGAAGTCTATCTGAAAACATCAGAAGTGTTTGTACTGACCACCACCTTGGTAAAGCACTAAAGGAGCCAGAGGCTGATGTAAAACATAAGGATTTTTGCATACCTTATTTGGAACGTTAAATAAAAGCTGAATAATCTGATAAATCACAATGCACAAAAAAACGTATTTGTTTTTTCAAATTCACTGAAAAGATGCAAAAGAGTCTTTTTTTTATTGTTTTACTGAAAACTAGAATTTCTTCCACAATTGATCTCCACATATTTATGACAGTTAGGGAAAGACTATCTGTCAACACTTGATGACTTGTAATCTTAACACGTCAATGCTTTTGCTTGACAACTTACACACAGAAAATAGTTGTAAAACCTATTAATAAAACACTGATAACAATAGTACACCTACATATAAAAGTTTAACAATCTTAGAAATTCAAGATATGTTGTACTTCTTCAAAATGTACACATATTCAGTTTAAGTGTTATCTGGTATCATAAGCAATTAACATTATAACTAATTTTAAATCCTTTTCTTTCACAACAAAACACATTTACTAACTCCAACTCCAGCAAAAAACAAACTTGATCCACCATATGAACCTTACCTCCTTTAGTAAAATGGATTCCAACAAAAACCAGGATTGGGGGATAAAGCACAGAAAAATTACTGGGTATATAAAACCTTCAAAACCCAACAGTGTCTGCCTTACTCTCAATTCCTGGCTCTGATGATACTGATCTTGAAGTAATTGTAAAGCTCTGATAACATTGGGTGTATATAAGTAATTTTATATGACACCAACAGGTACCATCTGATGGTCTTCCTGTACTGGTGACATCCTAGTACCATCAGATGGTCTCCCTCTACTGGTGACATCCTAAGCTGTGATACAGTATGTCCTAACATATCCTTTCTGTAGAATTGGCTTTCCAACAAGGCCTAACATAGTTACACAGGTGGCATACAACCAAACTAAATAAACCACATCAGTGCTAACTGGATTGATGATTTTTTCAGTTTTTCTTGAGGAAAGAAATTCTAAACATTTTCAGAGCATAATCTGGCAGTACACATATCACTAACCCTTTTTTCAGCACATTTTCTGATGTAGGAGGAACACCAGTGGACCAGTTAATTCCATTATGCTTACACTGAATGAACTGAAACACTTTTATTAATATCACTGGTTTCTAATTGGCTCATCTCAAAGCATTATTGTTTTTTTTCTTAATCATTTGAGTATTTTATAAAGCAAGTGAGAATCTATTAGAACAATATTAGAGTGTGAAAATAAATGTACAAAACTTTACACATACAATTAGTGGTTGTGGTTACAAAAGCTGTGACCTGTGAGGCTGTCTGCTCATTTCTTTATTAATGTACACAGTGTAACAACATCTACATATAGTAATGGCTAATGTGACGACACTATTATGAGATTGTAGCCACAACAGAAAGCAAATCACAAAAAAATAGATATATATATAAATATCAAAAAAAAAATTGTGTTAAAATTTAAAGTTCATTAATGTTTTAATCATCAACAAAATTTCTATTTAATCTAAACCTGAATGTTTAGATGCTGAGGAAACATAGTGTAAAACACAGTGAATCCACTATATTTGTTCTTTTATTGTACATGACTTTGTACTCATAGAAACCACTACAGTAGGATGAGTACTTTGTAAAAAGTATGAAAGAGACGTGTGAAAAGAACATTATGTATTCAAATAATGACATTACAACCTAGTTTAATACATAGCTACGTTGTGATGGAAATAACGTTACAGACGAAATGATAACATCAAGATGAAGCAGGAGTTGAGGGAAAAACTCAGAAAAAAAGGAACTAATCCAAAATAGCATAAACACCAAAACAAAATTCACTACATGTAAAATTAAACCAAATAGTGGTATATAAAATACACTACCAATATCCAGTTTGAAAATAAATACAAATTTACTCCGGAGGTACAATATGTTGTACAGCGGTTGGACGGTCAACCATAAGCTGTACAGCGATTGGCCAGCCAATCACACGCATCAGTGTTTACCTGTTTATCAAGATGTCCTACGGTGCTCTGTATGACAAAACAAGGAAGTTTAAAACATAATAATGTCAGCCACGAAAGACAAGCTTAAAAGAGATATATAAAGGCAGATTCATAACACCTAACAAAAAGGTAAAATGGGGTAAAAATACAGGCCTGAAATTTCTCAACAAAACTTAAAATAGATTCACATTGTCAAAATAAACTGAACTGCAACTTACTAATACACCTTTATTTCCTTTTTTACACAAGTTACGGTTGTACTGTTGGAGTGACATCAACATACGAGGAAAGTGAATCTGCCTTGGACACAGCAATAGGGCACATGATGAGGGAGGGATGAGATGATGTTGATACTACAGGATTTAGCATATCTACCTAGAACTGCAGAGTGCAGTTTCTGTGATCATACCAGTTTTCTCTTGCTTATTTTCCATTCCATAGCCACCGTTTCACTTTTGTGCATGCCTGACTAGATGATAAAAACTTACCGGCACTTCTTCCTTGGATAGGAAGTTCTCTTGTTGGTTCAGTAACACTTCAGCTTGTTTGGCATCTCTCAAATACATCTGTAATGGCATTGTAAAAAGACCAAAGAAAATTAACAAGAAAAGGTCAACATGGTGTAAGTATATACATAAGATATATAACACTTTCAGTAAATGGCAATTAAACTGAAGGAATTATCTTTAATAAAGATAAAACATATCCATTTTGATCCAACCACACATCTTAAGATATTTTTACATCTAATTATACAAAAATAATATTTAAAAATTATAAAATTAACCAAAGAACAGGTCACTTTTAAGCAGAATGATGCACTTGTATGTGTTGCTTTACCTGTAAGTTGAGACTCTGAGATAGTAGATGTTGACGATTCTCCCACATCTGTAGCAGTTCCTCCCAGCCATTATCAAGGGCCTGCAGTCTCTGTACAAACACATATGATTAAAATCAAAATGTTTCCATCATGGAAGTATTTTGTTTCTTGTTGGTAATATAGTTGATCACTGTCATATTGTTTAAGGCTTGTGAATAGACTGCCTTAAGTTTTAGTGTTAATGATAGAAATATTTATTTACAAAATACCAGTCACTTGTATCACATTTCCACTCAGATAACTAATTAAGTTCAAGTATCAATGATGTTGCATAAGGTATTTTCCCTTACAACAAGAAATTAACATAAAAAAAAAACCAACTTCTATTTAAATTTTCTGTCCCGCTGAAAGCACAACTCACATAAAACTAAAAACCTCATTTTTCCAAGCTTTCCATCACTGAGAGTACTAGAGTCAAACCTATCTAAAAGAGGCCATACAAAAGGAGTAGAGGAAAGTCGCCTATATACACAGTTAGTTTTCACGTACTATGAATGGTATTTCATAGGAAGCTAAAAAGTGGCCTTCATAGACAGGTGGCCTTTGTTAAAAGGTGGCCTTTAATACAGATTTGACTGTATCTAATTTCTTTTCTTTTTTCTGTTCAGCAATTGATTGATCAAGCTCATTTCTGTAAATATCAGAGGCTATTTCCCAATCCAAATACCATACCCTAAACCTGAAAGTGGGTCAAGATCATTCATTTGAACAAATTATATCGTTCTTCATTCCAGGAAAAAATTGACATCAAACAACAGATGTCACACTACAGCTTAATTTCTCTTGCTTTTCAAACAGGTGAGCTACCAAGTACAATCAATGATAGCAAAGCTCACCTGCAGCAACCATTGCAAAACACTTAATTATTGTTTATGACAAATAGGAAGGGTGTGGGATGTGTAGTTTCAAAAACTTGCCCTTAAAAGTAGGTATTAATGCTAAAACAAAGTCCAAAGCATTGTCATTTTTGCCAAAAACAGAAAAAAGACTGCATTTAATTAATATAAAATCAATCTTGCACCTCTAATGATTGTATAAGAGGGACTGTGTGGACTATGAAGCCTTTCAAAAACTTACCCAAAAAAATCAATCGTAACTGAAGAGCTGAAAATTTTGAAAAAGTTTAAAAGGCATTTATTTCTACCTGTCTAAGGAACATGTACTGTGGATCCTCCTGGCCCTCAGTGACTTTGTCTCCAAACTCTTTCATCTTGGCATACTCAGGTGCATATGCATCTATCTCATCCTTGAGCTGTTGATGCTGGTTCAAAAGCTTCTCAGCATCAGCAAGACTGTTAGGAATGTCCTCTGAAGCAACTGTTGTCTGTGTCCTTGACAGCCACTGTTGGAAGTGGTCAAGGTTGCCAAGGAACCGTTGGAGCTCTCCAGCCTCTCCCAGTTTCTCATCTCTGTCCTTTAACTGTATAAGGTAAAGACAAGGCATAGTAACACCAATTTCAAATTTGTGATCAATAGCAGCTGATTTGTAAATAACACTTTGTTTTTTTTTTATTTTAAATGAAATAGTCTTCTAACAAAATATCTGACCCCATTTTCCCTAACAATATATATCTACATCAAATCACAATTTTGAAAAACATAAAAAACAAATTAAGTGGAAATTCTTCATTTATTGCTTTTATATCAATCTTTTGTCATAGCTCACCATGTCCTTGAGATCCATCCAGACATTGTTAATTTCGGCAATTTTCTCACGGATAGCCGCGGCCTCATCTGGCTTGTCATCCTGTAATTTCTCTGCCTCATTTTGGAGAGATTCCAACTGAAAGATATAACGTTCTTAATTATTACAACTATTTTTTTTCTCATGTATCAAATTTTATTCCATATTGCTACTTTTTACAAATTTTTCTTTTCCTTTTCAGATTTGACCATAAAAGAATTTTTGTAACATTATTTTTAAGCTTCATTCCAAAAATACTTTAAGAATCTAACAATGTTTCAGATTACTTTAGCCTGGAGAAAATTTACAATTGTTACATTACCTTGGCCTGGATTGCTGCAAGGTCTCTCTCCATTCCACTGAGTCTTCTCTGGAGTGTCATCACACCAGACAAGTCATTACCCAGCTCATCTGTGGATTCTATGACCTTTGCTTTCTCATGAATCCAGCTCTGAAAACAAGAATACATTCAGTAAAACTCTCATTTCTATGATCAAAACCTGTTTTCAAAGCTGAAATACTTATTCATTGTTTACGAAAATTATCACATTTTTTTTATCAAATCAGGTTTCTCTGTTGTATAGATGGGAAACTTTCACTTCAGGTTTGAAATCCTACTTTGATTCACATTATTAATTTCAGTTTAACCTTAGGATCTTCATGTAAAATGCATAAAATATGTTTTAGAAAAACTTCAAGACACTTGCTTTTAAGATAATTATTTTATACCAAGTCAAACTTACAATAGTTTCATTGCACTCAATGTGGAAGTTCTGGAGACCATGTGCAAGGTTGATTTCTTCCCTCTTTTGGTCCACAAGGTCACGGAGATTGTTCCATCTTAAATTGCCCAAGACAGAACAATGTAATTACATGATTTACATAATTTCACATATTACATTTCGATTGCTGGAATCACAACATTTATTTTCTCCAAATTACAATTATAATGTAATCTAGATATGAGACTAACAGATATGATCTGCAGACTACTCACTCTCCGTTGAGTTGGTTTTGTCTGGCGATGACTTCAGAGGCATTGGGATGTTCTATTTGGAGAAGTTGGCGTGCCAGCTGGTTAACCACAGCCACCTTGGAAGCATTAGCATTCATTTCATGCTCGAAACTGTCGAAACGGTGCTTCATAATAGCTAATTCCTCGATATCATCTGTGATGATAATTGTGGTCAAGAATTTCTCCTGTATGAATAGAAAAGAAATTTACTTCAAAAGTTATACTTGATGATTCTTCTTCATCTTGTGCACATTTTCCAATCATTATTTACTATAGACAGGAAGTTTTAAAAACTTATACATCATATATTTTTGTTGGACTTAGATTTTGTGGGTTTTATTTTTTTAAATATATTGTTGTGGACACTTTAATTCTTTGAATAAATGTAGCTTAATCAATTTTCTCAAACTTATTTAAACATTAATAGACACATGAATTTGTGGATTAAGAGTTCCCTTGAAATCAACGAAAATAAATTCCCCATAAAAATGAATGATTTAATCTTTGATAAACAAGTCATACAATCTGCTACACAAACAAGCATATTAGAGTGATGTTAGTTTTCAAAGTTTAACATAAAATCCTACTCTTTCAATGTTGGTTATTTTAAACATTTCTTCTGAATTTAGAACTGATATACCAACTAAATGCTAAGCAATAGACCCTATTTTAAGTGATATGATAATGCTTATCTCTGATTTATGTCTAACACCACTATTGATAATACGATAATGCTTATCTCTGATTTATGTCTAACACCACTATTGATAATATGATAATGCTTATCTCTGATTTATGTCTAACACCACTATTGATAATACGATAATGCTTATCTCTGATTTATGTCTAACACCACTATTGATAATATGATAATGCTTATCTCTGATTTATGTCTAACACCACTATTGATAATATGATAATGCTTATCTCTGATTTATGTCTAATCTCTGATTTAACCCTAACATCACTACTGATGTCCGATTCTCTCACAAATATATCTCCTGACTTGCCTTTTCATCAATCCAGGTGTCCACACCATCAGCTTCATTAACCAGCTTATACAGGGAGAGAGCATCTAGGAGTCGCTGTTTGCGAAGTTTGGCCAATTCAAGGAGTTCTTGGTAACGCCTGTCGATGCTTCCCAGTCTGTTCTGTATGTCAGGAGATTCACGATCCTGTAAATGCAACAAACAAGTTAGTTCTGAATGTACACTGCACTTAGTTTAAACTTGCAATATCACTGTACTGATCTGAGTGAGAAAACACAGAACCCCGCCCCCACTCTTTTCCATTACAGTTTATCTCCTCTCTGCCATAATTCTCTTTGTAATAAAGATTATCTCCCCTTTACCATACTCTTTTGCAACAATATGAAAATTAAATTCCATTATTCATGTTCACCATGTAGTCCCTATAAATGCCAATTGATGCAGAGGAAGTGTACCACTTGCTTTCATTGGAGAAAACACAGCATATTTTCTCTCTTTTCATAAATGAAATAAATAAGATTTCCCTTCTGGTTTTACTGCTATGACAATGTTGTCGTAATATTGCAATTATCAGATTTTGTTTTTTTCTTTGCATAACACTGTGATAAGTTGAAAGAAGGTTTGTGAAATTACATTGCGTTGTGTTTTGTATGTCACTAAAAAGTCAGCCGTAAGAAACTAAGTATGAAATATTTGAGATATTACAGTAAAATGTTTGTATTTAGATGTGGACAGTGACTCACTTGCTCTCCTAGGTTTGCTGCCTGTTCATGAAGAGCAGCAATGGTGCTCTCATAATTCTTCAGCTCATCTGTTACCTCCTGTGAGTATAAAAAAAATTCTTCATTTCTTGTTCTAATCACGTGACATTTTCTGTCATTTAAATTTTTCATTTTGCCGTGGTATATTACCAACATGTTTCATGTGAAGGCATTTACAATCTCTCTTTTATTGAACAGAACATTACTGGGTAATACAGAAAGTAAGACCTGGTAGAACATATATAATGAACATCTTACCTTGTGTTTCTTGATGAGAGACTGTACACTAGCCTCATCTTTGCCGACATCCTCACTAGATACCAGGCGAAGTGTATCCAACATCCAGGCATCCACATCATCAGCATCAGCAAAGAACTGAAAATAACGGAAAACTTTTTATAAATGAACTGTTCATCTATGATATGCACTGTTAATCAATAGTGCCACTTTTAGAAAACTTATAAATCTACCCATTTACATCTTCTGCTAGAGCTAATAGAAAACTTACACCACAAAATAAAATTGTGTTCTGACATTCTCCTCAGTTTACTTTCTCATCATTTTGATTTTACACATCACCATATCTATAATTGTATCATTATCTTTATAATTGTTTGCCTTCTAATGAAATAAAAGGGCCAAGGATCAAATCAAAGAATCAGACCTTTCAGTGCAACTACATATCAATCGTTTTTTAATTAAATCATATTTGATTACAGTACTCTTTAAATTTAAAACTATACCAGTGTCTTTCAGTTTCAATTACAAATATATCAAATGAATTATTTTGTATAATAATTTCTTGTAATAGTTCATACGAAATAGATAGGGTATAACAATCAACTTAAATTAATTACTATGACAGTATCATTATTATCATCAAACCTTTTTTTTCTGTTAGGAAACATGTTTTTAAGTGTCTGTATTAGGCACCAAGGTTGTTCCTTGCAACAATAATTATCCCTAAATCATCACCAGGTCATCTACCTATCATACTGAACCAAAACATTGCCAGTCAGTGCCAAACATATAAATTAAATTTCTAATCAGGTCCCAACAAGAAATGACTACTATCCATGACTAATTTTAGACCAACATTTCCAATGTTTGTGACCGCTATTCTTGTATCAGTTTTTTAAGGTGCTGATCAAAGCCCTGGGTGATTTCAGCAAAATAACCTCCAAAAATGTTGTTTTTTTTTAATCATTTCACATTCCTTATCTTACTCAAGTTTCAACATCCTATCTTTTTGGCCAAAAATAGCATTGTGCTAGAAATGGATCTTTGTTCACACTAATATTGTAATTTACACTTATGTAGTGATTTAGTAGCGATACACAATTTCCATACATGTTAATACATTTATAAATGACTAGTCATGGATTTTATCAACTTAAATTAATAAAAAATTTGAACAAGCTGCTTAGGCAGCACAACTGGTGTCAAAACAAAACCATCATGTCCCAATGTTTTTAATGTTTACAAATCTGACAAATGATGATTATCAATATTATAGGTAAACTTAACTGAATACTGCATTACGAAAATGGAATCTGTTTTCTATTAAAAATTGATTCAATTAAAAGTGAAAGTGTCTTGTAATGTTCTGGCAAACTTGTGTAGTCAAACACTGGGAACACATGTCACTCAAGAACATAAAAGCATTTGTTATGTAAATCAATGAATTTAAAGAATTAAAATTTAAAAAAAAAACAACTTCTGGGTAGTGGGAAGTCAAAAGTTAAATAGCATCATCAAAAATAACACAATAATGATATGTAATATCATTGTCAACCTTTGTATCATTAGAAACTCCCCGACATTGAAAATTGAATAATTATCTCGTAGTTTAGTTTTCATGCAAGTCACAATATTTACCTATATACACCAGTTACAACCATGATAGAAAGGGAACTGACAAAAGTTTAGTTTCATACCTGGTAGTAGTCTACAGCCTCATTGAGCCTCTTCTTGCGATAAGCAGCCAGGTCTATTAGTGTCTCCCATTGCTGATTAATCTCATCAATACGTTCCTGAATTCTATCAGCTCCGAAATTGCCCGCAGTGATGAGATCATTGCCAACCTGGAGAACGGACTGTAAATGGGTGTGTCTTGCTGTCATCTCATCTTCCATAGCCTAGAAACAACAATGGTTGTGAGAGATTTTTCTAAAATATTCTTAGAAACAATTAAAAATGAAAGTGTATGTTTTTTGTAACCTTCAGATGAATTCATGTATTCCAACATCAAAACAATACATCACTTAAGAACAGTATAAAAACATTTATCATGTAAATCAACACATTTGAAAAAGGAATATATTTAACTTAGAAAGTTTCTACTACCACATAAATGTTCAAGTCACTATGACCTTATGTACAGCACTTATGAACACCTCCACAGTTTGCTCAATGAAAACCATTTGGTCCTTGACATTTTCTTTTTTTAAAAACTTCATCTTGTCAATTATGATGAGATCATAATTTTGTTCAACATTCTTTTTATCCCTACAACACTACAGTATAAATAGTTTGGGTTAGAGACCTTCTGTTTGTTCAGCAGCAGGTGTACACTTGTGAGGTCATGGCCAAGCTCTGGGGATGACATGAGTTGTTCCTTTTCTTTGATCCAGCTCTCCTCGTCCGCCATATCCCAGTAGAACTGCCACAGTCTTCGAGATTCCTCCAGTCTTGCACGACGCTCTGCAGCAAGGTTCAGCAGCTCTGCATATGAGTTCTCTAGTGTCTTCATACGCTCTTCAATAACTTCTGCCTCACACGGCTTGTATCCTGTATAAATAAAGGCTTCATAATAGATATTGCTAACAGATTAATTAGTCTTAAAAATCTTGCATGATCAGTTGTGTCTACACAACAATGACTATATCTGTCAAAGGCTTTACTTTTTTTCTTTAAGGAGGACCAAGAGCAAAGCACACTATTAATCATATCCATTACTTAACTCATTCTTTACTATAGAATCATGCTGAGTTAACAGTGCTCTAAATTAGATCTAATCTAGATATAGATGATTACCTCCTGCTTCAGAGAAGTCACCCTTGACAAATCGATCGGCCTGTGTGTTGACAGTCTTGACCCTCTCGCCCAGGACATGGATGTCAGCCTCCAACAGGCTGTGTTTTTGCAACAGGTCCTCAACACTCATAAGGTGCTTGCCGTAGTCCTCAGACATAAGTCGTGCCTACAACACATGCCATACAATCTTAACCCAATATTTCCAACAATATGTGTTGTGTTATATAGTGAAAGGTTTTCTAAAAGAAACGGTAAATATACTCTTCAAGGCAACATCATTCTGGATTAAATGTCAATAATATGCATCACATTTTTAAACCATCATTGTAGTGTTAAGTCTCAAATACTTGTGCAAAGTTCGATGAAGAAATGCAAAAGTTACTGAGAAATTCTGCTGTCAAAAAAAAGTGGAGCTGGATGGTGAGACTCCATGATTACTATATGAACCCAACAGGACATTTGGTTACATCATTTACACATCATTGGCATTCAGACTTCCACTTGCATTGTATCAAACAACTACACTTTTGAATTCAGATACACACATTCTGAAGGAAAAGTGTAAGAACTCACCTTGATTTCTTCTGTCCAGTCTAGAATGTACAACATCTCTTGGAAGATTCTCTGGAGGTTGAGAGATAATTCTAGTCTCATACGACGTGCTCTCAGCAGTTCTAGTAAGTAGTTCCATAGACGGAGAACATTGTTCTTTCTAAAACACAAATTCATGAACATGCCATTAATATATTTAGAAGATGTCATTTCATCACTGAATATAAAATATAAAGTATAAAGTATAAAATCACTAGGGTTTTTAATCAATCTATATGAGGAGAGCAATTCTGTCAAACTTGCATATTAATGAAGAGTCTTCAATTACGAGTCAAATTCAACACCTGAGACTCAAAATCGTCCTTTGGTCAATACAAAAAAACCAAAACTTTGCCATACCTTGCGAGAATTCTGTCGATATCATGGTAGTTCTCCTGTTCCAGTTCTGTAGCCACCGAGACAACTGCCTGCACACGTTCTTCATAGGCATTGATGTCAGTCTCAATGGCCTCATGTTTCTTAGTGGCAGCCTCCACAGCAGCCAAGTCGAAACCAAAGTTGTCTTGGGAGACAAGGCGCTGGTTCTCACTCAGCCAGGTCTCACGCATGCCAGCCTTACGATCAAATCTTGCTGCAAGTTGGTCAAGCTTCTCTTGTCTGCAAAGACAACAAATGTATCAGTTTTAAGGTTAACATTCCAATCAACCTCAATATTTCCTTCACTTTTTAACAAAAATTTACAAATCAAGAAAATATGTAAGATAAGCAGAACAGTAAAAACTGATCACATCTCATCATTCTTCGCATTATTTCAGCAATATGTCTATAATTGTTTAACAGAGAACAGATTATTTTGGTATTCAAAAATTTTAGTATCAAAACAGAGTAACTTATTTCAACCTCATCATATCTTTGTCCATGAAGAGCAGGAACTCTAAGTAAAATGTAACTTCTTTTTCAATAAAAAAATCACCAGTTCAATATTCACCACACAATCTATGGGAAAAACACCAGTTAAAAGTCTCAGTTATAGGTCATTTCTTGCTGGTCTCAATCTGTATCAATAATTGATATCCTGCTACTGGTGTTTTCATACCTGATCAGCTCTTCTCTGAGAGCAAGTTCCCGCTCGTGTTCTGCTTTTTCCAGACGGTCCCACTGTTTGTTGATGTCGGAGATGAGCTTACCCTCCCTGGGCAGGTATGGCCTTTGATTGTTGGCTCTCATTTTACTTTGGAGTGTGAACAATAAAATTTCCAGGTTTCCTTTTTCATCAAATCTGAAAACACAAAAAACAATATTGTTAACCTTTTCAGTCAATTATTCAAACAAAACAATAAAGAGATTTATTGTTTTTAATAGTTTTGATATTAAAACGTAGTTAAAGTTACAATTGCACATTTCTTTCCAAAGTAGTATCATTTCTAAACATTCTGAAATGTGTCATTTTGAAAGCTACAACAACAAAAAGAAAACTGGTTTTTTGTTTAGAACTGTTTTCCCTTGTGATATATAGTCTATTCCAAAAGTTAAATGTGGTATACAACGTATGTAACAATCACATTAAAACTAGTGACTGTGTTTCTCTCTAAACTAATTTTTATTCACATAAAGATCAGTAAATTCTTCTCACTTCTTGGGTTTTTCTCTAGTTCTGTATGTGTTGAAGGCAGATAGTTGCTGTTGGACTCCGGTCAGCGAGTTTGCAAACTGTCTGTCATTCAGGATCACGATGGTTTGTTCAATCCATTCCAGAAGGTCTGATGTAAATGTCTCATAATCATTCACAAGTCTGTCAGAGTCCAGAGCGTTGTCGATTACCTAAAAAAAACACAGCAATGACCTACTAAATATGTTCTCAAAATAGAAAATCATATAAGTGGGATGAACAAAATTTTCTGTAACTTTTCTATAAAATCATAGACTTTGTCCATCCTACATATATATCTTGTATTGCTGGATTATGAAAGTTACAACAAGAAAAAAAAACCTTACAAACTTAATTTCCAATCATTACAGTATGGCGTTCCCAACAACAAATCTTATAATCATTTATTAGAGATCCTTAAATCTTTGAAGAGAGAAGACAGAGTTTATCTTATTTTACCGGGATGTTCTGATTGATTATCTAAATCAACTTCATGTCAATTTGATCTTCCTGCCACCATTTTTTAAATATATATCTAAGAGCAAGATTTTCTCAGATTCCCCTTTTTTCTCCCAACCAATGTCTAACAGAACAGTATTACCTAACAAGCAGATTTTTTATGTATTGCCTGAACTTGATGGATTGATTAGTTTTGTAGGCTACAATTGTTTTACACTATAATTCACTAGAATAGTTTCTACACAAAAACAGCAAGTTGACAGAGCACAGATATTGATGTACTTCACAATGTACAAGGTAAAGAATGAACACAATACTTTGTAAACAACAAAAAGGTGAGACTTTATTACAGTAATTGTTCAGACTGGAAACTCTTATTTCACTACAGCCTTTTTATATATATACAAAGAAACTGAACCTTTATTCCTTTTTTTTGTAAAAGATGAAAGCAAGGAAATGTTAATTGTTTGTTTGTGAGCCGAGCCAAACAGACTTTGGTGAACCTGACTGAGTCAGTAGGGTGTACCTTTCCAATTCTTTTGCCCTGGACAGATTCTGCCTTCATTTTGGAGAAGTAATGGTAATAGGTAACAACATATGTAATAATTGACTTCTCATCAGGGAACTCAACATTGATGTCTGAAACAAGAACAGCAAACTTCATTAAAACAATTAGTTGCAATAGTGTAATAAGGATATATTGAAACTTTGGAATAACAAGGATACGCTAGAATGTTGGTATAACAAGGATATGCTAGAATGTTGGTATAACAAGGATATGCTAGAATGTTGGTATAACAAGGATAGGCTACATTGTGAGGTATAACAGTAGAGAAAATACAAAGTATGTCGGGCAGCATAAAACATCTGATTTATCTCATCAACAGTTAAAATGTAATTCTTCATGTATTCATGATCAGTGTATCATCACATTGTACATCTGTTCAAATTTATGCATAATATTAACTTTTTTGATAAACTATATAGATTGTTTATATCCATTCCAGTCACTAATGAGATTAATCCTTTGTTCTTTAGATCATTAAGACACATTTACAGAACTGGATATCGAAGGTGAACAATGCTATATTGAGACTTAATGACTTCTATTCTTCTAGCCTAATATTTCATGTTGGTAAATTTCAATAAACCTTAACATGAAATCAGCTATTCCTGAAATGTATACCCCTGGGCAATATTTGTGGAACTTGATTAACACCTGAAGGAAAAATACATTTAATTTTATAAGATATTATAGTAACTTCAGTTTTATTAATATATAAGGGGATTTACTAAAATTGTATATTTCAAAAAGTTTTTTTGTTAAGTTCTATCAACATTTAAGAGAATTTACCACAACAGGATAGTGAAAACATTTTAAATGGGAACAGAGAATCTTTCAATCTTCATTTCTCAGCGAATCAATAACACATCAAGGCTAGGCTGTTATTAGGCTTTCAATCTTAATTGATTGAAAGATTTGGTAGTCATTTATGTAAAGCTATGCTCAACTGCTCATGCATTGTTGCATGAATGTTTCAGTCTACAACGTCCTGCCACCGGAGACCTTGGTTTTTGGGGGTCACGTGACCAGATAAAAGATGTTATGAGGCTATAAACATGTTACCAGGGTGTAACTACAGTAATCGGCCACATTGTTACCTCCTTGTTTGGTAAATGTCGTCTGCTTCACATGCATGTGATTAAGTGTAATTGTGTTGTCTGGCTTGCTAACCAATTCGTCAGCAGGACAATGAACAGGATAGCACATCCGCTACACTAACCTATGCTACAATTTGTGAGGAAGCACTGTGTGAAAGGCTCTTCACCACGAGTGAGATTGGCTCAGAGGATAGTTTGCCAAGAAAAAGCTCAGCTTCCTTAAACTTTTAGCAAGTAAAAACTGAAAGTGTCCAAGCAACACTAAATGCCTTCTCCAGCAGCCAAGGAAGAGTCTGGGTTTTTTTCAGTGTTATAAGCTTTGTAAAGAGGAATTCTAAAACTCCCAAATGTGTTAAGACAAGGTTCTACATCTTTAGTCAAACTATTTTTTGTGAAAATTTTAATAAAACCCAGAGGGATCTTGGCACAAACACACTTCACTGAAAAAATCAAAGATGGACGACTGTTGGCCATTTTGTCTCTCTGATTTGAAATTTGAAGGGCACAAGCAGGGACAAAAAGTAACCTATACATAAAATTTGAGAAAGATGTACACTGTAGTTCCCAAGAAATAGCAAGAAAAAACTTGCAAAGCCAAAATCCAAGACGGCTGTCTATTGGCAATTTAGTTTTTCTGAACAGATCCTAAATCAAATGGCCGAAACTAATCCAAATAGATCCAAACAAAATACTGCAGCAAAAAGTTCACTGTTCATGACAATTTTCCTTGAGTTGCTTTATCATTAATAGACTGTAACTGTACAAGGATATTAACAAAGCATTGCTGAATGAAGACAAGTAAAGACTGATAAAACAGAGAGAAACAGCACCTTCTGGGTCCAAAAGTCTGGCAAGACCCAGCTTATCTTCTGCAACTTCAAATGCATTGTCCAGGTTGTGCAGAGCATTAGATTTCTGCAATTTTTCATACTTGATGAGGTCAGGTCTGAAAGAAATAAAAAATTCAGATGAAATACAGGTATATCAGCACCAGTATACAATCAACAGTAAGCGACTAAGCCATGCTAAGTTTGACAGTGCTCTCTGCCATAATAATGAAAGATATCAAATAATGTAAATTTCATGCAGGTTACACAGCAGTCTTATTTATCACAAAATATATGAATGAAAATTTCACAGCAGTATGATCTTAGTAACAAAGCTCAAATAAACATTTTCAAAGTATATGAGCTAAACTTGCACAAAGTTTTCCCACAACACATAGACCTAAAATACCGAACATACACATATCCTACCCATTTCTTTGACACCCCCCACCACCCCCTCCAATATGTTTAACTAAAATATGGTAGATTAGGAATGACTGGTACAACACTTGTGGAGACTTTGCCGACCTAGTTGTTTACAGCCTAGTTATTGATTGGTGTAGGCAATGTCACACAGGTAGCTCAATATAGGCCAAGTCTTGCTGAGATGTTCTATATCCAAGACTGTTTTAACAATAGTGGAATCACATGGTAGGTATGACTTCAGGTCAGATGACAGAACACCTGTATCATTATCATTAATTTCTGACAGGTACCACACCTGTATATTGTAACAGACATGACACGATACCTGTCTACTATAGACTGAGCCCTGAATGAAGACAAATCAATATAATGTGTGAAACAGACAAGAAATGATACCTGTCTGCTATAGACTGAGCACCTGTCTACTATAGACTGAGCCCTGAATGAAGACACACCAGCATATTGTGTGAAACAGACAAGAAATGATACCTGTCTACTATAGACTGAGCACCTGTCTATTATAGACTGAGCCCTGAATGAAGACACACCAGCATATTGTGTGAAACAGACAAGAAATGATACCTGTCTACTATAGACTGAGCACCTGTCTACTATAGACTGAGCCCTGAATGAAGACACACCAGCATATTGTGTGAAACAGACAAGAAATGATACCTGTCTACTATAGACTGAGCCCTGAATGAAGACACACCAGCATATTGTGTGAAACAGACAAGAAATGATACCTGTCTACTATAGACTGAGCCCTGAATGAAGACACACCAGCATATTGCGTGAAACAGACAAGAAATGATACCTGTCTACTATAGACTTGAGCCCTGAATGAAGACACACCAGCATATTGTATGAAACAGACAAGAAATGATACCTGTCTACTATAGACTGAGCACCTGTCTACTATAGACTGAGCCCTGAATGAAGACACACCAGCATATTGTGTGAAACAGACAAGAAATGATACCTGTCTACTATAGACTGAGCCCTGAATGAAGACACACCAGCATATTGTGTGAAACAGACAAGAAATGATACCTGTCTACTATAGACTGAGCCCTGAATGAAGACACACCAGCATATTGTGTGAAACAGACAAGAAATGATACCTGTCTACTATAGACTGAGCCCTGAATGAAGACACACCAGCATATTGCGTGAAACAGACAAGAAATGATACCTGTCTACTATAGACTTGAGCCCTGAATGAAGACACACCAGCATATTGTTTGAAACAGACAAGAAATGATACCTGTCTACTATAGACTGAGCACCTGTCTACTATAAACTGAGCCCTGAATGAAGACACACCAGCATATTGTGTGAAACAGACAAGATATGATACCTGTCTTCAACAGAAGAAGCCCTGAATGAAGACACACCAGTATCCTATGTGTAACAGACAAGAAATTACCTGTGACCTGTATTAACAACAGGTTATAATCTCTTGTCCTATTCGTTTAAGTAAGCACCATTATTCCAAATAACAAGTCACTTCTTATTGAAGCACGCCCTCTTAATCTTATTTCTAAAATGTTGATAATTCATTTTATGAAATATAAAGAAATAAAGGCATAAAATGCTGCTTTTCCTACAATATCCCATAAAAGAAGGGGGCTGGTGATTACTGGAAACTGACACAAAAAGTGAGAATTTTATCTAAGGAGGACAATTATTAGAAACAAATTGTAATAATTCCAATATTAAAACATTTTTACTAAACTGCAGTCTGATGATGAAATCCTACCCAACCCAGATGAATCACAAGATTTTACATTCATGCATATTACAAGCAGAGTAACCCACTGTAAAAGGTAAGTGTGGCTTCCATTCAAATTAATCATACCAAAGGTATATTAAACATTGTTAAACGTTGATGTTACCATGTAAATTAGGTGACCACTGATGCACTCAATTACCACAATATCAAATAGAAAATACGAAACTGCCATCAACAAAAGAAAGTCAGAGGAGAAGTCATGGCAAACATTACTATATTTCGAATCACAGAGAAATGTATCTTGACAGCACAAGGTCACAGATCCTTAGGAGTAGTTACATCCCTTGACCTTGCCCTTTATTATCAGAGTGCATGTGTGGTTGTGGTGACAAGTCATGTTGACAAATAAGCAAGCATACCTAGGTCCTATAATACAATGGAACATGTGTTACAATAACTTTTGTAATAAATTACGTCACATTTTCAAAGACAAATTTGGCATAGGTACACTGCTTAATTGTTTTCTGGAGTCTGATAACAATCATAGTGATAACATTGTAATGGTGAGGAGAAAAGATTCAAAACAATTATGAGACCATCAGTCACCGATAAATGATCTGTGATGCAGTGACAATACCTCGGTTGTGTAACTGTGTTGAGAAAAATTGGGGAGAGCTGACATTGGAGGTTTACGAAAAGCCACAGGAGGAGGTAAAAAATGAGTATGCTACAACTTTTTTGTCCTCAAAAGAAAATAGGCATATATTAGAACAAATATGGTAACTTGTTTTATGGTTGTTGAAAAATGCATAAAGTTGATTTCTGTATAAACTTTATGCTGTTGTTCTTGTTCTACGGGTCCTATACAAAGATATTCTGTTGAGACAATGAGGTTAAGCTAATTCTGTTAGGGCATTATAAACATAGAGCAATAGGTGCTCTTGAGGTTTTTTTTATCCAATAAGAGCCCTGAGGGACCAAACCTGGACAGGTTTACATGTTATACATAGTGGTAAGCCTGACCAAGGGAGGCAGTTATTACCTGCCTGGATGAGATAGGTAAACACTTGATGACAAGTACACAGTATCAGGCAGACTTTCCACACTTACAAGCAGTCTTCAAGCCCTGTTTTCTTATCACATTGTTTTGGTGCTGGATGGAGGATCAGAGCTGGTCTGCATGAGGCACTACATAATATATTTGTACATGTTGGTAAAACTTATCACCATCTCTGTTCTCACCTGGCATAGTATAGCAGTCTGCTCCAGATCCATTTTGTTAAAACAGCAATAATTAAGCTGCTGACCATAACCAGCAAATTATTTAACTTTGAGAAATGAATTTTCTGTTTCTGTTTATGATACCATTTGACAAAACTGAATTTGCAGGAACAGTTCTACCCCAGAGAAGAAATATTCTGAACAAAACTTTTCTAATACTAGCATATATGTAGGGCACAGGTCAAACCAGGTTTGAAGTGGGCCTGAAATTGTTTACATAAGCCAAGGATTTAATAACATACATGATAATCATTTAATGTGATTATTGCGTTGTAATGGCTATCAAGACAAATCCCCAATATGCCCTGTCACAGCTTTTAAAACAGGAAGGTACATCAACCCAGGCCTGGAATGTCTCCTCAGTAATTTGTTTGCAGCAGTTTTGGTTTAAAGATAGAACCTGACTAAACAGATGATCACAGTTTACACTAAGGAAAACCTTGGGATAATCCAGCTGGTACCATTGGAAATAAAAAGCTTTTCCAAATCATTAATATCTAACCTATTTAGTAAACCACAACAAAAACCTCCACCCTTAACATTTGTGGTAAACCACACCGACCCACCATCTCTAACCAATGTTGTAAACCACACCAACCCACCATCTGTAACCTGTGTGAAAAACCACACCAACCTCCATCCCTAACCTGTGTGATACACCACACCAACCTCCATCCCTAACCTGTGTGATAAACCACACCAACCTCCATCCCTAACCTGTTAATCTTACAAAAACTCTTCAGCTGTGATCTATGTGGTAAACCATACCAACATCCACCCCTTACCTACGTGATAAACCACACCAACCTCCATCCCTAACCTGTTCATCTTACACCAACCCTTCAGCTGTGATCTATGTGGTAAACCATACCAACCTCCACCCCTAACCTATGTGGTAAACCATATCAAAGCCCATCCCTAACCTATATGATAAACCACACCAACCCCCATCCCTAACCTGGTAATCTTACACAAACCCTTCAGTTGTGATCTATGTGGTAAACCTATATTAACCCTCTACGTCTAAGTGGTATATCTACATCCAGTCTACATCTGTAAGTGGTAAATCTACACCAACCCTCCACCTCTATGGTTGTTATTTCTTTATCTCAATATCAAACCATTATGACAGTCACTAAACACGCCATATCAAAGAATTGCATATATCCACTACTTTGAATCAGAACTTTTCATTTATTTTTCACTACCAGTCCAAAACATAAAATTGCTTTTCAGACAGGATTCCTCCCATTCATGTAATGGGCTAGTGTGTGTATAGCCCAGCTAACAGGGACAAGATAACATACACATTCCCAACTGTGGAGCACTGTTATCTACTTCCAGCAAATATAGGTGTTACCATGGAAACCAGGAATAACTAAGTAGTAGTACAACATTCCTATGCAGACATGCTGAGGTTAGGAGCCCACATACCAGGTGGCATTGATAATGGCCGTTTTAACACTGGCCCTTTGCCATACATACCAGATGAGAAAGAGATGGCCCCTGTAAAACTGCAGTCTTGAGGGTTGGGTTGGCCTCAATGCACTTTGAAGTTTTATTCCAGAACAATTAGAAGTATATATACAAGTGATGAAATGTATCCCAATAAACTTTCATCTCAATCAACTGATATTTACCTGATAATTTGTTCAAAAAGGTGAAGTGGTATGAGTC